CCCTTGCTGGGACCAACTCTGTGTGTGCTCTCTTCATCCTCACCTTCTTACCTTCATGGCCCTGCTCTATACACTCCCCTATCCTGCCGCCTTCCTTTCATATTCATCTTTAAATATTGTATTTTGTTCATTGAACAAACAAAAAATAAAACTCCATAAGACACCTTTCCTTCATGTTTATACTTCTTTGAACAACTAGCCCACCACTTCTCCCCGCTGGCACCATTTTTCTAATATATCTTGACATAAGTAGCTTCTTCCTTCCTTCTCCTTCTCTTTCTTCCCGTTCCTCCCATCCCCCTCCCCTCTTTCCTTCCCTATCCCTCTTCTCCTTCCCCTCTCCCCCTTCCTCCTACCCTCCTTCTTTTCCTCCCTCCCTCCCTCCCTAAAGACTTGCTTTGTTTTTTGAGCCCCTGGGCATCTGGAAGCAACAGGCACTCACCATTCAGTATGGAGTTAGCCCCTACCAAAAGGAGGGCTTGCTTCCACAGCTTTGAAAGCCTTCTGATAGGCATTGTCATCACTCCTCTGAGATCTGTGATCCCCGGACACTGTTCCTCAAGTTGCCTTGCTGTTCCATCCACTTTCCCAAAGGCTTCCTCACTCTTCTCCCTGAGTCCAGTTACTCAGCCTTGTAACAACCCATCCACAGAACCTTGCAGCTAGGACTCCCTGCCTAAAGCCTGTATACCTCCCTGTGCCTGCTTAACCTCACCCAGCTAAGACACTCAGCTCACACTGTGACCTGGTTTTGGCTTCTTCACAGATCTACAACCTCCTCCCGCACCTGTCACAATCAAGCAAACCTCAATGCTGTTCCACTCACTGCTCTGGATATGCCAACCTCCGTGCCTGGAATGACGTTCCTTACTCCCAGCCGAGGCCTAATAGCACCAATCAAGACTTCAGAGACCAAATCTTCACCAATGTTTTGCTAGTTCTGAGCTTTTCCCTGAAGTTCTAGAAGCGTTTAACAAAATATTATAACACTGATCCTGTCCTTGAATTACTTCCCTTCACAAGGCTGCATGTTCTCTGAAGGCAGCCACTAGGTTCTGACACAGAAGAGTGAACACAGAGTCGGATGGACTTACGTTTGATTCTTCCTCAAACATCCTCTGTGGCCACAGGTAGGTTACTTACCGCCTTACATCACCACTTTTACCAAATGGAAGATTGGAACAATAACTGCCCACAGTAAAACTGTGGTAAAAATTTTAAAAGAAAGTATAGGGCACTCAAACGTGTTTATAGATTTTTGTTCTATCATGTCCAAATTACTTATTTTAAATTATTGCCAGTGGTAATAAAACATGCCATTTTCACTCACCCCATTTTTTGACAGGCTATAGAATATAAATGCAGACATTTCAACATTTCCACATTTATTCTTATTTTTCTCTAGGGAAGCAGAAAAGGAAAACTGTTACTTTAAGTAAGCTTCCTTGAAATGAAGAGGGAGAGAGAGTGAAGGGAAAAACAAGGGAAAAAAGTGATAGAAAAAGGAAAGTTGGAGGAGAGGAGGGACAGATATTCAACTCTTTTATGTGAGAAAAGTAGAATGTTACTCAACTGAAAATAGCAATGTGCTTCCAAAACTCAAAAAAGCCCCCCTCCTTTTTCTTTTTCTTCTTCTTTTTTTTTTTTTTTCAAATTTCAAAATACACTAAACACAGGTCAGCCAGCAAGTCAAATAAGTAGTTCCCACCTGCTCCAAGCTTTCTGAAGTAACCTGCTCACAGATGAATCTTAAGCAACTACTTGCCTGTTTTCGTAACACGGCTTTGGCCGGGAGTTGTGAACTTTGGCTCAAAAGACCTAGGTTAGCAGTGACCAGCGAATGCACCTCACAGCTTAAGCCAAACTGGGCCTGGGCTCTCTGCAGGAAAGTTAGCTAAATAATCACCGCAAAGGAAGTGCAGGTGTTCTGTTCTACTCATGCAAATGAAGCTGGAGTTGGCGACCTCCTGCATTTTCTAAGCCTCCCACAATGAAAATAGCACCTATAAATGGTGAGAAAACATCCTAGGACCTAACTTCTACATAATATTACTTTCTCAGTTCTCTCTTGGGGATGCTAAAGACTTCCTCAAAAAAGAGACCTGCGATTACTTGTAATCTTCCACAGAGCTTGGCGTCACATCAGTCATCTTAAAATCTAAGAACTTCAAAATGCATTAATTCAGAGTAAACTGGATTTTTGTAACATACTCATTCTCAGTGCTTTGGCCAAGTAGCCCATGTGACCAGCATAAGTAGAGGCTGGTTGTTTTCCAGTTGTCAAATACTCTTTTCCTATTTAAGAGTTAGAAATAAAAACATTCCCTCATAAAGGAATTGAATAATCTGGGACACAAACAAGTAAGTATTTATTTGAAAAACATTTCTGTATAAGTACAATGGCAAATCAGCTACAGTAGCTTCTCACTACTAATTCCAATTTGTTACTCACAGTCACTTTTAATGCATCATAAGTAAAGATACTGCTACAGAAATTTATTTCACAAGGTACTTAGAAAAAATATATATACAGTCTCTCCAACAGAAAGTTAATTAAAATAACAAAGCCAGGCAATATAAAGCTAAGATACAAAACAAGCTGACATTTATAAACATCAATAAATAAACATGTACAAAAGAGTCTATGACAACAGTGAGCCAAGAAAATCATTACAGTGCAAGTAATGGTGACAAGAAGGCAAAATATCTCAGGATGCAAGACTGATTCAACACAATGGAGTTTTTTGTTTGTTTTTTTAAAGGTTAAAGAAGAAAAAAAATCGCAGAGAGTCTGAATCGATATTAGTCTCAAAGCTAAGCTGAAACTATGTTTTGGCTCCATAGAATTCTATTCCTATAACTGAATTCCTGTAATTCTATTCTGATGGGGTTAAATGAAGGGGAGAACTGTATCCTTAGAACTGAGGGTAGAATTTGGCTCAGCCTTTAAATCCACTTGCAAATGTTTCTATTCAGCTGTTTCTTCCATTTTCCCTTACCTGGTTACTGGACATTTCTAAAGTAAAGTCAAATATGAATAAAAAAGTTCCCCAGGTCTGGATAAATATGAGTAGAAACCGAAGTCATTTTTGTAGCTACCTCTTAATCACTGTTCACTCAATATGCACTTCGGGTAGAAATCTCACAGTAGGAAGCTAATTAAATTCTATCTTGAATCTCTAAGGCTTGGGGACAGTATATGATGACTCAGTGACTAAGATTAATTCTTATTTATATATAATTCCTGCCAGAATAAGCAGCCTGTTAATATATGCCTACAGGGAAAGACCTGGCTCTAGTGTAATGGATCTTCGTGAGGTGAAGATTTACTACCCTACTATGTACACCCCTCCCCTGTGAAAGCTAAGCTGGGCAGTGCTCATGTGACCTGGGACAGTGTTCCACCCTGCTGCAAAATGGGAGTCATAAAATCCACCCCACGTTGTCTTATCCTCCATTCAGTCTGGCAAATAGCTTCATGACTGAGCATCAGCACAAGGTGAGAGGCCTGGTGGCTGCACAGCCTGGATGCTAAGTCTCAGGCTGAGAGCTATCTGCTTCAGGACAGAGGGGAAGGCCCCCAAGTGCTCAGATCTGCCTTCTGCCTTTACACAGACTGGCTCCAGAATGGCTCAACTTCCCAACACATAGCCAGCTCCCCGAATCTGATAACCCAGAGCAGATGTTAGGGTACAGCACGTACTGAGACCAATCTGTAAGACACTGGATACAAATCCATCATTTAAGAACAAATAAAATGTGGTCTCCTAAACATTCACTAGCAAGCATGTTACTCAGAATAGTTTGAAAGTTAAGTAAGTTGCTTAATATTCTGCATGGCTTGTAGGCAGAAACCTAATCCATAAATAACACTATCTATCTTACCAACCCTCCTCTGGGTCCTATAATCAGAGGACTTATGTACAAATAGTTTTTCGACTCACAATTGTAGACTCACATGTTTATAAATTATTTTGATTATGATAAGTCACCCATTTGTCTCAGTTTATATTCCTTGGAACAAAACTCTTAAAAGGGAAAGTAAGAGGCTTTTCATTTGTGCAACTGCAAATGTCTTAAAGTCTGCAGAGCAAGGGTAGGACCCGAGAGTCTCAGTGATTGTATTTCCTAAAAGGGAGAAACTATGGCACACAGCATGGAAATTCTCATTCCTTGCATGAGCCTGTGGGCTCAATATTCAGTAGAGGAGCAAGGCAGAAATATGAGAGACTCATTCTGCAATAACTACTGGGAGGTTCACATTAATGAACATCCATGTTAAACTTGATTCAAATGTATGGGGTTAAGTGATAATTAATGATGATCCTTAAGCTTTGTGTCTTGAATAGGATAAGTAAAATAGTATAAATTTGCATGGCCTCCTGTTAACTAGGTTATGTTCCTGACAGTTAAACAATTGGTATGAAAAGAAAAAATTCCTATCTGTTCTTCAGGTCCAACATTCTTTTGTATCTATGGTCAAAATTTCACAAAAAAGAGGAACTATGCTACTGCATTCACAGAAACTAGCTTTGAAATGGGATTTGCAGGCATCCACAAAAGTTAGAAATATCATTATGCTTTGATTGTTGAAAAAGATTTCAATGAAGCTAAATGGCTAAACCCAAACCTAACCATTGGGTGGGGCATGACTGAGCTCTAAATTAGGATTTGTCCCTACCTCAGTCTCTCTCTTCCCCTCTAATTTTAATGTCTCCCCTTGAGTTCTGATTAGTCCAATTCAATTTTATATTTTAAAAATTCCTTTTATTCTGTAGCTACTGAATACTGTTGCTCTCAGTGCTGAAGTTTCAGTGATGATGGAAACTTCCCCATGGAAGAAATAGAATGAAAAGACAAATTCAGAATTTCACAAAAGCCTTTTTAACAAAATACATTCCTCATAGATATGCAGTTACCTAGGTAACGGCACGTTTACATCTGCTAGTCACAGTGTTCGCTGCTTGCAGATCACGTTTCTCTTTCTTATATTAAAGACATTAAAACTTTGTGCTGTGGCTGAAGGTGTCTGACATGATAATGTTTTTATAGAAGTTATCAGAATGAGGATTGCAATAACCCTTGACCTTATCAATGACCTGATGGACAGGGATGATTGATGTTGGTTCTCCATCAGCATGAGTCAGTTTTGATGAGAACTTGTCCATGGAAGCATTGTCTGTAAGAAATGATACAAGAAATTAGGCAAGAACTGGTGAAATGCCTAAGGGATGCCACACTAGACACTGTATTTTGCACATTAAAAATAAAATAAAATAAAATAAAAAAACAGAAAAGAAAAGAAACTCTGGTTGTCAGGTTAGGTAATAGGCAACACTGAAAATTCACATTTTCACCTTCAAAGTGCATTCCTATGGATAAGTCAATGTCAATTTGCCTCCTAGTAATATGTTGGAGTTTATTTTAAGAAACATTCCTATAGTGGTATTTTTTAAAGAGCTGATAAATAATCAGAAAATTGCTGCAAAGGAAAAAATGTGGCAAGGTTCAAAGAAAAAATGACAGATTATATAACAAATGGATAAAAAAAATGCTGAAATATTTATGGAAGAAATGTCATGATGGCTAAGATATGTTTTCAAAATTATACAGAGAGGAAAAGTGGGTAGGTGAAGGAGATTCATTATACTATTCCCTCTACTTTTTATATATATGACACTTCTCATAATAAAAAAATTAATTCTCATACAAAGATGTGTATATTGATTTTGAGAGAGAGGGAGAGAGAGACATGGATGTGAGAGAGAACACCAATTGGTTACTTTCCATACTTGCTACACAAGGACTGAACCCATAACTTGGGTATCTTTCCTGACCAGAGTCAAACCAGCAACCTTTCAGTATACATGGTGACACTCCAACCAACTGAGCCACACCAGCCAGGGCAAAATGTTTTATAAATTATAATTTAAAAAAACTTTGAGAATAAAAGTCAATGAAAATAAACATTAAAAGGATATTTTGAACACATTTTCTAATGGTTGCCTTGTAAAGTGATTGGAATATAGAAAAAATAATGTTTTATTCATCATTTTTCAATTAACGAAATTAAAATGGTCTATCAGAAACATTTAAAGTATATGTTTTTATTAATTGTGCTAATCTCAGAATTATGTTATTGCTGACAATATGAGAGCAATGGATAGAAATAAAGGACTGCTAAAAACATTTTTTTTCTAAATCTCACAATACCATATATTTAAATATTATGTCCTAGACACAAAAACTTCTAAAATTGGCTTAGATAATGTTCTGAAACTCAATTAAGCCCTATTATCTATAAATATATATGGCTATCTTCATGAATATCTTGTATGTATCTTCCTTGCTCCTTCTCCCAACACACTTTGGAGAAAAATTTTACCCTAAAATTAACCACAGAGATTTCACACCGAGGAAGGAGCAAATATGACCGTCTACAACAGTGGTCCACAAACTGCGACTCGCAAGCCGCATGTGGCTCGAGAGCGCTGTTTGCCAATCTGTTAACCGATGAGTTTGCTGACCATTGTCTACAACATACTAGTTCCCTACAGTTGTATCTTCTCTAGTCATTGTGGAAGAGGCAAAAATTCTATCATGAAAAACCACTTCTAGAAATCATGGCTTCAAAATTGGAGTGCCCACTTCCTGCCATTTTTTATTTGTTTGTTTTGAATAAGTTAGACCCAGTATGTGAGAAAATATTACAAATCCTTCAGTAATTGGTAAAAGCCATCAGAGTTATACCTATAGTCTTTGGAAATAACTCAAATTGTTCAACTGCTAGTGTTGGAACAAAAACCATATATGTATGTGTGTATATATATATATATATATATATATATATATATATATATGGCTGAAATTGGAAATGGTGTGTTCATTCCACACTAAAGGAATTTGGCAAAATGGATGGTTTATGGGAAGAACTGGCAGAGAGAAGCATGGCAGGATGATTATGCCCCAGGATTGGTGAGAAAAAGGATCAGGGTATTCATTGTATAAAGGCCCTCCCACTTTTAATTCTGGGAAAGCTGATTGGTTCTGTGTTTTTCTTCAGTGCATACATTCACTAGCCACTGGTTTTCTGTTGGGGATTTTTCTATTGAATTAAATTTAAATAATGAATAATTTTTTTGCCTGATGTTTTCAGAAAAAAAGAAACTTCAAGGGTATATTCATTCAGTTTTGTTGATAGCTTTGTCATGTAGCCTTTAGAGGTTTTGACTAGCTCCATTCCCAATATGTGACCCAATTTTCTGGGTCTTTATATTCTAATAAAAGAAATTATGAACAAGGTCTGTTATATCAAAACAGGGTTGGGCAAAAGTAAGTTTACAGTTGTGAATACACAAAACGAAATTTATTCTTACTATTATTTATTAACCATTGTGTTATTTACCATTTGAACATCTATAAACCTTCTTCTGTCCCACCCTGTATATGCAGGTACCACTCCTTTGGTTATATATGTGCAATATGAATTTTGATTAATTGCAAGTTTGAAAACCAGGGGCTAGGGAAATGAACTACTGTTTGACCTGTGCTGAAGTTTTAAGCAGATAAGAATCCTCAAAAAGCAGGATAGGAATTGATAAATTCTATTTTATGTCTTCTATGAATGTACCATGACAACTCAAGTAATTCATCAGAGCAATGAAAAAGTAAAGCATTTCACTTTACACCTTTCTAACACAAACCTCTTAAGCACTGCTTTTATTTTGTTGCTATTGTACTTAGTATGAAATTTACTAATTCCAGAGCATGGTACATTTCCTAGAAGGCTTGCAGACAACCCCATGCAGACAAGAACCAGCACAGAAAACAACCATTTGAAATCTCAGAAATTCCAGCTCAGGGCAGAAATGTCATTGTACTAGCTGAGAAATATTGTAAAGAACAAGCAATTCTGCTGATGCAGCAAGAGTCTTAGTTTAATTCATGCAAATATTCTCTTATTACTTTGCAAAAAAAAAAAATCATGCGTTCAAAAAAATAATAAATGTTTACCTGAATGATCCACTTTTGTTGAAGGAATGCTCTTAGAAGACATTATCTACACCATAAACATATGAATTTCTAGATCAATTCCAAGAAATAAACCAACTAGATATCATGATGATATGCAATGACTCCTTGCATATTCCGAGTGACCCAAGTACACCAGCCATCCCACTGAGAACTGGCTAGGTGGCAGAAGGCCATTTGTACGTCAGTTGATGGGAGACCAGAATGTTATATCATAGAAGTATGTCATATAGCTGACTATATCCTGATGCCAGTAGACAAGAACCCATTTAATGCCAAAAGTTTTATTATGGCAAGCAGAAAAATATTAATACGTTCTTTAAAAAGCATAAACAATGTTTTGAGACAGTAAAGTTTTTCTTTGCTATCTATCTCCATTTCTGCATTTCCTTTCACCTCTTAGTGAGTTTCCCCAAGATCCTTAATATTTTCAAGTATTTCTTTGGACGTAATGCTTCCAAAATGCCCCCTGTTCCAAATTATCTACCTTGTTATCTTCTCTCCCATTTTTATAGTGGCAGTTCTTTAGGCTAGCAATTCTCAGCTGTGTTGGGGTAAGATAATCCAATCTAATTCTATTTATTCATAACTGGCTTATCATGTATAAACTATTTGTATTTTTAAGGGGGGTGCAAAATAAGTATCTAATTTTGAGGTTGAGAATATTAAGTAAAATACTCATTATTATAAACAAAAGATAACTTGTACCAGAAAACTAGATAATTAGGTAGAATAATCTATGGTAGACTGTCTCAGATAACCCTTGTTATCAATTTTATTATACAGCAGAGACCTCTTATTTTTAGGCAAAGCTATTTGTGTACAGAACTCAAAGCCTGCACCTTATTCTGGAAGGGAGTTTGTAGCTTTTCTTAAACATCCTTACTCTAAGCATCTCCTCTACCTATTCCAAGTTCTCAGGTCTTTCTTTAATTTTGGAATTACTGAACTCTCTATACACTCAAACATGTTTCTATGGTGCTATCTTGAATCCCAGGCAGTGGATATTCCACAGGTGAGGCACCGACAGAGGTGCAAGCAGGGACAGGTGGAAGGATTCAAATATATGTAAAGGTCATTTGAAATTCAAGTGTTTGCAATGTGAACATTTACACATCATACAACACACTCCCTATTTGCAAAAATCCGAAGATGAATCTTCTCTGTGCCATTCATCTCTGTTTATGTTCAATAGCTAAACAAATTCAAAATTAAGGTTATTTGCATTATCCTTTTGGACACATCTTCAATTAGGAAAGTGGGTGCTAAATATTGATAGCTGTTTGAAGTTTAATTAGTATTTAAAAGTAGCAATTCTGCTATTTTCCTTTGAAATTATTAAAAGATTACATCTTATCCCACTGGTCACTGGCTATCAATATTGCAAATTCATCTTTATTTCCATGTTGTCTCCAGGACTGTACATTTCATGCTTAGTGTTAGAATGTGTGATAATTGTAAATATTATGAGTATACAGGAGATTAACAAAGATACAGTACTTCTCACCATCTTGTATTCCTTCCCAAATATGATGTCCTCTATTATTTTATAATTGTTTTATATTTAATCAGTGATTTAAACAGTAATTGCCAATCACATTTTCAATGTTTAAATATGTAAATCCTAAAGGTAACATATATCCTGGATGGTGTTTCTTTCTGTTCTCATGCAAGCTTGCCAAGTAACTCTCATACTATGTTGAAATAATCTCAACTCAAATTTATATACAATATTTATTTATAAAATAAAACAAGTAACTTGCTAAACAAGATACTATAATGTTTTAAAAGAGAACTAAGTTTGCATTGGATATTATCACAATAATATTCAGAGTCAATGACACTATGGCTATATAGATTCAATTTAGGTTATAATATAAAAAAAAAAACAAAAGACAAACCATCTACAAAAGTGCTGGATAAGGTCTTCAAGTAAATGTTTGTCTACTTTGCCCATGTTGTCAGTGAAAATGGGATGCGAACTGTAGCAGAGAGCACCTTTGCATGGCAGGACTCACCTGTGTGACTATTCCTTTTGAAGTAGGTGGTAGAGCTGCATTTCGATTTGGATGTAAGGTAGGTTGAGTTGGAACCAATGGAGCTTGAGGACAGTGATTTTCCTAAGTTATCAGAACTTTTCTTGATGGTATTGGTAGCTGTCTTACTCCAGTCTGAAAGAAATGACATCTCTCCATGAATTTGCTGTAGGGGAATATGGCCTGAAGTGAAGACATCACTACACTATTTATGTAGCATTCAATGTAAACAACAATAAACTAAAGAAGTAGGTAAGTTTTTTACTTTGACCCTGTGTAAAATATTGTTTAAAATCTTACTTTAATATCCTAACGGTGAGACGTAACCACTGGTGGTAATAAAAAAAAAAAAAAAAGGTAATACTTTTTATTTTATAGTATTGAAAAAAATCTCTTGGCTTAATCATGTAAAATTAGAACCTCAAAAATGTGGACAGGTGACAGTGGCATAGTGGAACTTCTGGACATTTGACTTACTAAATTAGACATGAAGCCTTGAGCAGCCCACTTAACCTGTGTGGTTAAGTGACCCTCTTTTGCCAAATAGAAGGGTCATGCCCAGAGGCCTCGGATCTCTTAAATTCCTAATATACTAAGACTCCAACCAAGCATCGTCACACACCCCACCTTTACAACTTGCTACCACTGGGACTGGGTTTCTCTGGCAATGGAAGACTCAATAAAAAACATTTCCCACTATTGCTCTTAGACATAAGAACCAGTTATCAGCTTGCCCCTTACCTGAGTTGTCTGCTAACCGAAATTTCCCACAGCAGAGATGCCGTCTCCACTGTTTCTGAACGTTCTCCTTCATAGCACAGTGGAAAATAAATATAAATAAGCCTGCGACAAAAGAAAATATTAACATTTAAGCCAATGGACACATTTTAAAGATAAATCTTATGAAGCACATGGATTCATTCTAATTTAAACTATTTATACATATGAGTCACTAAGAGGAAAAGATGCTGAGGAATCTTCCAGTATGTGGTAGATGTTTTAAACCTTTCATAAAGAACACAGAGGCTTTGATAAAACCAGAATTGTTACTTGTATCTGATTTTGTCTTTGCCTGTTCTGCTCAGCATTCCTTATAACCCAAAGTTTAAAGCAAGATTCAATTTAAGAGATTTATAATAAGTCCCTTACATTTGTTTTAAGATTATGTGAAAAGATTTCACAAAATTTAGAAAAGAATGTGAAAAACAGAAAACCTCCTCTCAAAGCTATTTTATGTATGCATATTATTAAAAGTTTGGGCCATAGAAAAATGATATTTTTGCGGGTCAAAAATTGCCACAAATCAGCAAATTTATGGGGGTTCACCTGCTTTAGTTTCTCAACATTTTAATCTAGAAATATTTCTGTATTGTGAAACAGTCCTCTTATTTATGGTCACTCCTTGTACCTACCAAAAGCTAACTGCATTATTTGTGCTTTGGAAGCCAATATCTTTTAACTTTTTAAGGAATTTCCTTCTGCTTTTTAACCTCTCTTTATTGTTTCACCAATTTCTTCCTCTATACTCGGTTATTCCCATTACTTATAAGCATGTTCTAATAACCCTCTTTTAAAAATAAACAGTAATTTCTCCTTTAACCCCAACTTCAACTTCTCCATTCCCTTTCCCATTACAATTTTTTTTTTTTGAAATGGTTAAACTTTTGCTGTTTCTCATTTCTTCTCTTCTTAACCCACATCCACTAGGCCACTACAGCTGCTGATGGGGCGGTCACACTCTGACTGAATGACTGCTTTTCAAAGCCTTCCACACCTTCAGCCCCCAATTCCCTTGGGGGTTTGCTGACACAGAAAATCCCTTTAATAACTAAACATGCTTTGTATCCCCAAAGCATATGAATCACCAAAATAAATAATTTGAATTGGTTAACAGATCCTTTTAAGTTTTTAAGAGGTGGTGGCAGATTCAGAGTAAAGAGGGCAGCAGTGTGGAGCCTTGGTGGGGTCAGCACAGGTCACAGATGAAGGAGGCTGTGTGGCGGAGAGGAGGGGCCCTCTCCATCTCAGGTGCACTCTGTGTTTGTTGGCTGGGACAGAATTTGCAGGACCTGTTCCTGGAAGTATTTTTGTCACACAGCTGAAAATACAGGTAAGCATGAGTTCTTAAACACTGTTTAACAGAATCACTTATTAGAGCTGGAAGGAGATTATAAACTCCAGTTGAGGGCATTCTTTCCTAAGCATTAATCTAGCATTGCTCAGTGTAGGGCCTTGCATTGAGCAAATGATTTCTTTCAGTTGCTAGAAGTTGCTCCCTTTAACACGCAGTTTTTATAAATGTCGCACATCCTGGAGGAAACCGGTTCTCAGACTTGTTCTTTTGGCCTTGCAGAGGTGCTAAAAAGTGACTTATTTGGGGACTTCTAGCTGACCATATTCACAGAGGAGGAGGTTAAATGTAAGATAAAATGAATTTCATGACACCATCTTTTAGATTGTGCACTGCTGTCTTGAATCATAATGAATTATATAGCAATTAGATGGCATTTCTATTTTTAAGTAACCACATTTGCCTGGAAATACATAGGCATCCAAGAACTTTAAGAGACACTGGTACATAAGTTAGATTTAAATCTGATACATCACCTTTAAAATTATGTGACCGAAGAAAGGTCACTTACATTCATCTCCATCTCCCACTCTGAATTGTGATGCGGTGCGACACAATTCCATAATAGGCGTAAGAAATTAGAATTCTTAGGAATGGATATAGTCTTAAATCCCAAGGTAGTATGAAAATTCTTTTGTCATTGGACACATTTCCACTTTAAATCAGAATAGAATTCTCATAATAGGTTGTTTTACCACTTGTGATAACCAGCCCCTTTCACCTGAATTTAGGTTAGTCTGGCAATAAATGTAGCCAAATTCTTTCAGGGCAAAACATCTTTGTAAAGCTCCACTGTGGGAAATGTAGTAGGTATCCATTGGAAGAGTATGTGTACGCAAATTCTTTAGACAGGAAGAGGAGAAAATATAACCAGAGACCCAAGGCCCTTGGAGGCCAAAGTGAGAAAACAGACGGTTATCCCTCTTCAATTTTGAGGGTATTTCCTTACAGATATGGGTTCAGAAGCAGAACTAAAATCATTAAGAGTTGTATGTTGACATCCAAGGGACTATATCTGATTTCTCACTCCCATCTCTGCTCCCATTCTGTCAAATATTTTCCCTTTGAGAATCTTCATAGCTACCACATGGCTGTCTTGAATCATAATGAAGATAGCCATGAATCATAATGGCTCTTCAGAGGCTCTTCATAACACCTGGAAAAATGTGCTTGTCTAGCTTTCTTAGCTGTGACTGGGGACCAGAATACTCAGCCTTTGCTCTTCATTGTGTGTCTTACAGCTATCTAACTGATCAGGGAGAAGGAACATTGCCCATAAAAGTTTGGAAGCTAAAATGGCTCAAAGATTGAATTCAGAGTTAAAGGCCTTATTTCATCTTGACAGGCTAGCACTAGTTTCATGAAACCTTTATAGCTCACAAAACAGAGTTCATGATGGTCCTTTAATGGTGAATGGTAGCCTGAAAAACCACCAGTCTGATGACTCTAAGACAAAATTCCTTAGAAATAGTTTCTTAAGCTTGGTAACTGCCTGGATTCTTTATTGGATTCTTTATTTTACTTATAGGTATCCAGACTTCCTGCTAGAACAAAAAGAAAAAAAAAACTTAAACCTACTTTATATATCTTCTCAAAAAGAATAGTTATTGATTTTTTTGAGAGAGGAAGGGAAAAGAAACTTCAATGTGAAAGCACAACCTTGATGGGCTGTCTCCTGCACGCCCCCTACTGGGGATAGAGCCCACAATCCAGTCCTGTGCCTTGACCAGCAACTTCCCTTGATGAGGGTGAATGGGATGACACCCAACCAACTGAGCCACACTTGCCAGGTTTAAAGCTACTTTAATTGAACAGATTCCTGACCAGTCCTTATGCTTAACCCACCCTCACACCTGCCTTCTCTTCCTTTAACTTCATCTTCCATTAGTAAGTCAGAAGTATCTGCTCACTTAAAAAAAAATTAGAGCAATATGTAAATTCAAGATGTCTTAATTATTGGTAAATTTTACAATTTCCTCATTTAAATTCAATTGTGATGGAAGAAGGGTGTTCAGAGTATGTGAGAAGATGGGCCTGCCTATAGATCTTGCCTAGGGTGGAAACATGAAGAACTCACTTCCTCAAAGCCTTCGAGAGAAGCAGACCACAGGTCAAGGCTGGGTCAGCAAATATGGCAACGGGACACCTGAGAGTGCTCTCAACTTGGAGTTACAAACATTCTGAAAATCTCAAGTAGTGGATTTGCTTTTTTATACTTCCTCCTTTCATCTTCCTTAGGTCACATTCCAGTATCATATTTGGGGAGGGAAAAAGCTTACTTGTAAGTATTGGCATTATATTCACAGTAGATTGTATGGACTTGTGTTTCACCTTTGTCTTTATAAGAGCTACTTAACTATTTATTAAGGAGGAAAAATAGCATCTTAGCTTCAATATTTTGGCTGGGAATCTGGCTCCCACATTGAACTCACTCCCTTTGGTTGATTCTGGCAAAGACATGTGGCTTTCTGGGGCAGATGTAAGATGAGTGGCCAACGGGATATTCTCAGATCTTTAGCCTGATTATCAAAAGTTAAAAACAACAACAACAACAACAAAAAAAACTGTTTCCTTTGGATATGAAAATGAATGCTCCACAGCAAAATTTTGGGACAACACAGATTGTCATTCTTTTACTGCTCTAAAAGGTCACTTTCAAGAAATCCGGTGAACAATAACAAAACAAAGCCTAGAATCCTCATCTCCTAATGAGTTCTTGACCAACTAAAGGCCATTGACACTTTCAGCAAGATTGCCTTCAGTAAATTCTGACAAATGGCCTAAACTGACTTCTTCTTACTCTGGATAAGAAAGAACCAGAAATATGGTGAAGGGGAAGACTGCAGATACAGGTAATGTTAGGGATGTAAGATAGAATCAGAACAGGCAATGACTATGAGTGATAAGTGGTTCTGGATATTTGAAGGGAAAATCAGTCAAGAATTCATCAAAGCAGGCATTGGGCAAAAGAGGCCCAATCTCTACCTAACTGACTTTTGACAGAAAAGGTCTAGATAACCTCTGAGCTTCCCAGCAAGCTTGAGTCCAAATCTCCGAACAGCTCATTTGTTCTGTTGTCTCAGAGACATAGCCAGCTGGCTGCTAGGCTGGGGATCATTCAGATTTAGGAACCTCCTGAATCCTCCTTTCATACTACTAAGGTGCCCCTTAGAAAATGATTTCTCTGTGGCACAAAATTCCATGCCAGAAGATGAGTAATTTATTTCCTTGCTGTGTGTAATGTCTCAGCCAACACAATGTCGTTTCAGATGTTTGGGTACAAAGGTGGTCCATTGCTTGGAGCCAATTCACTGTGTGTGTTGTATGTGTGGTTATGGTGCAGCTTAACTCTCAGGAGGCCTCTAGCCATGGGGTTGGAACATTTAATATTCTTAGTTTACCAAAAGTATTAATAATAAATATATTTTCCTTAATGATTTTGCTGAATAAGGAAAAGAGATTAAATTCACATTTATTCACTAAACATATATTTACTAACAGTTTTTTTGTTTGTTTGTTTGTTTGTTTGTTTGTTTGTTTTAGTGGAGGCAAATATTCACTTCCTAGAAACTTTCCAATAAAAAGTTTTAAGGTTAGTACTTCATTTTAGTTTCCTGTTTATGCTCTGGACCCTAATAATGTTCTTTTTATTTCCACATATGCTACATTGTAAATATTACACTATTAGATTCAAACTGCTCTTGGGAAAGTCACGGACTCTCATGAGCCTGTTTCTCATTCTATTACATGGAGACTATACCCTCTATCTTTCAGACTTACTGCAAGAATTACATCAGATGACAGATGTTATGAGAAAGTGCTTTGTAAACAACAATGCACTGAACAAATATGTCATTTCTGTTGCTCTGGTATCTTAATGTTATCAAATTAATTAACAGCAAGCATCTCTGAGCAGGCTGATAATGCCCTTCTGTGTTGGCCATCACAGTTTGCACTAATAGAACCACATGTTGCATTGTATTATGTTGTCACATACATGTACAGAATATGGGCTGATGACACTTGAGGCTATTAATCAATGTTGTTTCTAATGCCTGGAAAAGCAAAGTTGAAGACTGAGCTCTTAGTATGGGGCTAGACTTTAGATCCTGATGAACTTGTTAGAAGAGGTAAACTTCCCTATACATTGAAGAAGCCCAATCTAATTGAAAGTGTCACATACTTTTGTAAGTTAATGGAAATATATAAAGTCTGAAATATGTTCATCTTTTGCATAAGGAGCAGCTATGTGCATGTGCTGCACCTTAGAGCAATAATTCAATCCCACAAGTGCACTGACATTGCCAAGGGACAGAGATGCCATCAGGATTCTGGCCAAGAGCTCCTCAGCAGCCAGGGAGTTGCCTTTTATTTCTTTAGGATGAATTATGTATTTGTTGAAATGAAGGCTAAGGTTCTTAGGCATGTGAGTTATGGTATAGTTTTATCAAACATCTGTTTCCTTTTGAATAGCAATTTGTATGCCATACAATTTTTCTCAAGTTGTATTCTTCAGAAAAAAATTAAAATTTGATAGTTTTATCCTAAAAAAGCAGAAAGGATAGCAAAAGTAGATAGGTATGGAATTCCATCATGTGTAGGGAAGATATATTTATCTTTTCATCATAGAGAAAAAAAGTAGATGAAACAATTAACATATAACAAGTAAAGTAGGCAAAATAAAAAAAAATACACTGTGAAAAATTAGAAAATAATAATGAACTTGGTTTTAGCCTTGATTCAATTCATGATTTCAGTTGCTTAATCAAGTAGGTAAATTTTTAGTTTAGCCACACAAATTATAATAATTTTTCTGATATCTATTTCACATGATTTTGCCATTAAACATAGTTATAAGTATACATAAAAATAAAAAATATAGAAAATAATAAAAATAGGAAACACTAAAAGCAAAAATAAAAGATATAAAAATAAAGCATTTATAAAACTGTTATAAGCTATATAGATTTATGTGAGCACCCAAATAATTACACATGTACATATGTATTTGTATACAAACACATACATGCATTAAATATATATATATATAATTTATTTCTAAAAATTTTAGCATTTTTAACCAAATAAAATATATACATTTATTTTTTATAATTTAAATGCTCTAATCAAGTATTTTAAAACATCCATAAAAGTTAGAAGAAATCTGCTAGCAAAAGTCACTCCTGTGATATACACACACCATGACATCACTATAGAATCAGCTCAAACACCTGTCTCTCCTGCAGGTGCCACATCTACAGTACTACAGCCATTCATTATCAATTGATAACTTGGGGCATTCAGGATGAAAACCCTGATGATTTTCAGATGCTTAACTATGAGCTAAGCCTGAGAAAATTAAAGTATGTTTGGCATAGTTTTAGTTTGCAGAATATTGTATTACAGTCTCAGTCTTTGACCATGGCCAGGTCTCATGATGATAGGCTTCAATGAACTATAAGATTCCATTAATAAAAAGACCTTTTACCCAAATCATTAGAAACATAAGAGTTTACTCTAATGAACAAACCAATGATGAGTGTTTTGTAGGAGAATACTTTCTAAATTTCTCTTTACTCCTTCTCACATCTCTCCAGCTCCCCCATTCCCACCACAATCTAAAATACTGTACCACATCATTTTACCTGGATCATTGCAATAGCTTCCTATCTACTCTCCCTACAGACGTTACTGAGCTACTCTAATCCATTCTTTGCATTACATCCAGATTCCTTTACAAGATGCTCATCTCACCATGTCATTTCACAGGCCTAAAACTTTTCAAAGACTTCACATTGCTCTCATTAAAAACAAAACAAAACAAAACAAAACAAAACAAAACAAAAACAAACAAACAAAAAAACAGGGCCGTCTGATCTAGACCTGGACTCCCTTTTGTGCCACACTGCTCTCACTCTCCTGCTCCTTCTCGGTTCTCAGGTTATATGAGTCTTTATTAATTCCTTGAGCAGATGTTATAGTTACCAACTGCAGCAGATCCTTGAATAATGTCATTTCGTAATAATGTTGATGAGATACCATAGGAACTTAACTCTAGTTTATGCCAATTATCATATAGTAAAATTGGTTTCCTTACACATCATTTTGCTTACAGTCAACTTATTAACCACATTAAGTGAGAACTTATTATACAACATTTATTTTTTGCACATGAAGTGCCTTCTACCTGAAATATTCTCTTCCCCACTTCTGCTCCCAACTTTCACTTAATTAATCCCTATTGATCCTTCAGAGTTCAGCTTAGAATTCATGTCTTCTGTCAACTGCTCTTAACACCACCAGGTATTTTTATATGGTGACATGATTGGTTAATGTCATCTCTCTTACTAGCATATAAGCTCCATGAGGCAAAGGGATCACAAAGTTTTCCTTGTTGTTATTGTTGCTTTTATTTTTTTTTTCTGGAATAAAGAATATCAAAAAGAAAAGACATATACATAGTGTAGACCTATACTACTTGAGCTAATTTTTCATCACTGAATTGTTTCTTTATATTGTCTAAATTCCATGTTTCTTTTAATAAAGCATATACTTTTAACAACAAACCTCTCTTGAAAGATTCAGAAAATGGCTCAAATCAAAACCATTAAGTGCCTTCCTATGGTGTCTTGAATAGTGTTTGTACAGGCTTGGCCAGTAAGCAACTGTTGGTAGGCTTGTGATATGTATCCCTGCCTTTTAATTTTAATTTCATTTTTAAGAGGTATTTTAATTTCATTAGATGTGAAAACTATGTTCTCAATTTATATAATTTAAATTTAGTCTTAAAAGTGATTTATGAAGGATATAATTTGACAATAGTTTATAATATTCTTCCCTCCTGACAGGAGACCTATGCTGGGAAAAATAAAACATCCCATTTCTCATGAATGGTGACAGAGCTGACCAGACAACGATGGCTCTTGGAGGTTAAAGAAACTGCCAGGAAATTCTACAAGCAAAAAACTAGGTTGGGCTGGCAGATTAATGTGCTTTCATGTACAATCCTGAAACATAAAACCATCTCATCTCTAATGGTAATGGACATTTTTGTCAATATTTATCTAGGCACATTTATGTTGTATATTACAGAACAGATTAAATATGGGAAAATCACTTCACAAGGCTAGATTCCAATAAAGATGTATGCATAGGCTACCTCTTCAGTTTCCACCTTTTGGAGGTGCACTTGAGGCTTATTATCCTATTTCCTGAAGATAATGAGCCCACATATTTCCTCCGTTATGGGAGAGTGACCCTGTATAAAATTTGTTGAACTAATAAATGTGGATTTATGCCAGAGGAGCCTCAAGTTGGATTTAGGCAATAGCCAAAGACCCTCCCTTTTCTTTATCCAGCAATCCATTTATTCTTTTAATAAAAAATAGTTTAGCACCAACTATGAGATTTATTTATTTATTTGGCAGGAGTTTATGAGCTAATAGGAAACCTAAGAGGAAAAGCAAAGCAGATCTGTACGATAAAAAGCAGTAATCACTCTCCTGAAGGAAAATACAGGACTACCTGTCTAGGCATCTTATTTGATGAATAGCACAAATTTGATTTCCACGACTGTCCACCCAACACAGATTTGTCTAGCTTGCTCTAATCAGCTCTTCTTCCCGCACACACCTACAAGGACACACCAGTAATCTTAGGTAGGTTAGTAGTATTGCTCTGCTCAAAAAGATTCCAAACGTTGTCCCCTCATCCCTTTTGGAGTTGGGACCTCATGGTACTTCAGAACATTAGGAAATTTTTAAAAATAGAGTATATCCAATGTCTTGAAGAACGACATTTAATTAAAAAAAATATATTCCCTTAAACTTAAAGTTAAATTCATCACATGTACACTAGGGTTTGTATTATGGAATCAGGAATATGACAGGGAGCTTCTTGAAGAAAGCCTTGATTTTTTTGTTTGTTTGTTTTTTTTTGTTTTTACAAAGCAGGTCATTGGCAAGTGTTTGTTAAACTGGAACTGTCATATATCATGAAAAAAAAAAAGAGCATTTCTTAACTAAAATATTGCTATTTATTTTGAAAAACAAGCAGCCAAGGAATCAAGATGAATTGCTCTGACCCAGTATAGAGTCTAAAAATTCTGCAGGTCAAGAACAGCTCACGGCATGGGAAGAGGTTCATGAGGAGTAGCACCAACACTCAGCGAAATAGTTAAGGGGTGAACGTGATCTATCTGCGCACTCCTTTAAACTTGCACCTCCTGCCCATTTTCAGTCATGTGACAACATATGTTTACTGAGCACCTACTATCTTCCAGTTACTGTCCTAGATCCTTGGGATACATCTCTGAAAATAAACAAACAGACTGACATTCTACTTCAAATTTTCCATTCAATACCTTTTTCATGAATACCTACCCCATGCCCAAAACTATGCAGTTGGGATAGTAGAAACTTAGTGTGATGTCTGTCCGACAAGAAAGCTGTTTGCAAATATGACGAAATTAGAAAGTGGAAATTGTTCAGGTCCCATTTATCTTACCTTGTAATGAATTGAAGATGGAGAAGAGGTATGTGAAAGGGATATATAAGGGTCCCCAAGCGAAGAACGCAAAACCCCATGTCATGCCCAGCAGAAATGTCAGGCTGACCACACTGCGCATGTTCCGTAAGACCTCTTCCCGCAGGGTCCGGTTGCTCCTTTTGCCGTTCCTCCCGCAGATCTGCACCATTACCACGATGAACATGGCAACGTTCAGTAAAAACATGATTCCAAAATACCCAGCACAGGTCACGTAAAATACCACCGGATCCTGAATCCAACAGCTTAAAGGAGAAGAAGCAAGAAAGAAAAAGGAATTTATTACCATGACTGTTGACCCAAGACTTCTCCTGGCTTGGTTCTGGCCTCTGTGGGTTTCATAGGTAGGCCTTTCTCACGCACCTTTGGAGAGACACTTCATGTCTTGGCCCTCCATTTCCTTCTTGATGTGTTCAGAGTTTTCTTTGTTTGTTTTGGATAGCTATCACTTTAATGTCTAGTTATTTAAGTCAAGAGTTGAGAAGAAAAGCAGGTGACTATTTGAATTCTGACTTGACGTGAAGTCAACACTATGTCTAACCCCTTTTCTCATATGTGTCTGCACTCCAGAGAATGGGAAGTTTAAGTACTTATATTTTCAATTTCTTTTGTATTTAAGGGTTGGTCCTGTGAACATTGTTCTACAAAATGATATGAAAGCAAAATCTGGAGAGCTATCTTGATAAACTCAACTGGCAAGGCCCTTACTCATTCTTTCTGCTTCAAACCTGAGAGCAAGCTATGGAGCAGCAGCAATCATCATATACCCATGAGAGAAAGACCAAGAGAGCTACAGAGGTTCTGACCTTGACATTTCAGCCATAAATTAATGCCAGTTTATTGCTCATTTCTATGGGTATCTTTTTTTTTTGTCATGTGAGAAGAGTAAATTCCTACTTTAGACACACATAATTGTGGATCCCATACTGCAAAAGAATTCCTATTGATATAGTTGGTCTAGTTGAGGCAAGACCTTATTGTAAAACTGTGACAGTCTTATAGTGACACTTCTCATGTACAATTAAAAAGGTTTACATTGGTTACAATATCCTTATGAAATGAGTAAAGATATACTTAATATTCAAAATTATATAGAGATTTGAAAACAGATAAAAGCAATTTAGGAACTGTACTATGTGTAAATGTCCTGTGAGTAAATTTAACAAGTACTACAATATGCAGGTGCCCCGGGTCCTAATAATAATAGTATGGAAGATCTTAGGTACCTCGAAAATTGCATATATTATTTAAGGCATTTAAATTTAACTTAAAATTCTAGTAAAAATAGTCACCATTCTGGGTTATGTCTTCCACAGTGGAACATGACTGCCACAAAGTCAAAAGCTACCTTAAACATCTCTAAATCTCAGAATCTAACATGATTCCTGGTATATAGTAAAAGCTCAGTAAATGACAATTGCCATTGGAATAACAATTTATTAAATGTACTTTAAAGTTATGTAAAAGGCGACTAACATATTTTTGAGGTTACCTTATTTAGAACTTATGTACTAACTTTTACTTTTAACATACCTTTTTAAAAATGTTTTTATTGATTTTTTAGAGAGAGGGAAGGGAGAGGGATAGAGAGATGGAAACATCAATAAGAGAGAAACATTGATCGGCCACCTCCGCATGCCCCATACTGGGGATCCAGATCACAACTCTGGCATTTGCACTGACCAGGAATGGAACCAGGGACCTCTTGGTTCAGGGGTCAAAGCTGAATCACAGAGCCATACCAGCTGGGCACTTTTAATATATCCTATTATAAAGAGTCCCCAAAATGATACTGCTTATCCCAGAAGCTAATATTTCTTTACATATAGTAGTTGCCCTAGAATCCTGAAATTCCTGACCTAAAACTTTTATTTTACTCTTGTTATTGCGGGGTTCTTTTGGGTGCTACTATGGAAATATAAACTAAGGAAAGACCACAGGATTGGATATTGATGGATATAAAAGTGTTTAGCATTCATGAAATGTGCATGGTAATGTGGCAGCACAGTCAGTAGTAAGCTCCTTTATTCATTCAGTTACTCATTTAATCACATGTGCGGCATAAAATACAGGGCGTCCCCCCAAAATATATCCACACTTTAAAAGGCGAAAGATTTATGCGGTCTGAAGAGAAACCAGAGCTATATCCACACTTTAAGAGTTAATAGCTGTTAAATTAAAATGAAGTGTATTTCAATAAACACTGCCTTTATAATTATTCAAAGTGTGTGTAGACATTTTTATGGAACATCCTATTTGAGAGAAGTAACTACTGAAAGTGAGCAACAGAACCACCGTAGCCTCAATGATATCACAGTCTTAGGAAAATTTTCCAAATTATCCAAGAACATGCTGATGTGTCCATTCTCTCCATTTCCATGATACACTCATATTAGCATTGACTCATTAGCATTATTGTCTGACACGAATATTTCACTCACTTCAAGATGTAGGTGGGTTTAAGGAGGTGGGATTAAGAAATCTCAAACAGAATGGGTCTACTGAGCCTAGAAAATAGTATCTGAGACTTCTGCATTCCCCCAGGATCTCTAAGAGTTCAGGGCATTCAACTGAGTACCTCATTGTGTAATAGAGATCCTGATAAAGGCATGCCGAGGCACTCAACCTTCAAATATAAGAGGCTCACTGTTGGCATGGAAACTTACACTAAACTTTAGGAAACAAAGGACATACACTCATTGCAGATACATTCCCGACAAGTCTTTATTACTTACAATTCATCACCTTGTTCTTTTCCATAACTCTTTTTCCCATAAACTCCACTTTGGTTTCTGCTTGCTAGAACAACTGACACAATGAAGGCGGGTAAACCTGTTATAAAGAGACCATGCTGTGAGCAACTTTTCTAAAGCATTTGGATCTGCTTTTTAAGACTGAAAATAGCAAGAAAAAAATAAAACACCTTCCTATCACAGAATCCAATTTCTTAGGACTGGCAGCTTAGTTAAAATAACATAAATCCAACTCAATTGTTAACAATCAAAACCTACTCTTTAATGACAGATATGTAAATATGTTTGTTTACTGGTACCCACTGGAGAGCCAGAAGCTGATTTATATTGAATCTAGGACCAGCAAATGTTGTTTCATTAATGATGCCTGTTAGACCAACTGTTAGTTCAGGCAGCACAGGAATTATAGCTCATTTTTTCCCCTTTTCTATATAAAAAATTTTATATCTTTACAAAAGATGGGGGAGAAATACTGAGACCATAAAGTCTTTATAGTCTTCCTTTTCCTCTCAAGAGAGTCAATAAGTAAAGCAATTCCATGTATATTTCTCTGAGAAAAGTTACACTGTCCCAATTCCCTTAAAGATGCCTCCAAAAATTGTGAACATCTTGAAAATGGCTCATATTTCTACACTGCAATCTGCAAAAGAGATTTGTGAGAAAGCTCTAAAACGACTGGTTTGATATAAAACCCAGATAAAGAAAGGAGCCCATTTAAAAGGTCCCAAAGAGGCTAATACAACCCTCCATGTCTGGCTGAGGAATCACCAGACATTCAAGGAAAGAATTCTGTCAGTATTTTGATTGCACACACAAAACCAACATTCTCTCTCTGGTTTCTGAGATATGGGCATGTGTTTAGAGATGAATATAGCTAGGAGTCTGAGCCGGCCTCTACATTTTGAAACATAATGGAAATGCACCACCATTTGCCAGCTGCCCCTTCAGACTTGGGTGGGCTGGCTCTGGGTACAGGAAATGAGTTTGTGGTGACTCAGGGGGCTAGAGGTTTTGCCTTTACTCCTGCATTTAGTGCGGTCTGTTGAACAGTTTTGACAAATACTATTCTGAGGATGCCCTTTCCTTAAAGTATCAAATCGACATCCTTTGCTAATGTGAAGTTTCTCTGAGCAATGCTATTCTTTCAAAACAGCATTTCCAATGAGAACATGGCAATTCCCAGGACACTGAAAACAAAGCCATACATGTGGAGGGTGCTCACCCCAGCCAATGATGCAGAACTTCAGGATGTATCGGCGGATGTAAGTGTTAAATACTTTCACCAGAGCGATGTACATGTGGATGGCTTCCAGCGCCATCCAGGTGAAGGTGGCGAGCAGGAAGAAGTGCAGCAGCACCGCAATGGCGATGCAGAGACCCTCCACGTGGAAGGAGGTGAGCCAGCCGTCCAGGAGGAAGCTTAGGTTCAGCAGCAGCAGCGCTGTGCTCAGGTTCATCAAGATCTTGGAGGGATAATCCCTTCTCAATTTTCTAAAATGGAAAAAAAAAAAAAAAGGAAGATATCGGAGAACGGATATTGTAAATAAAAAATTTTAAGTACAGGCAATAAATTCATACCTCACAGAGCAATGCAATGGCTAGCTGCACCATCCCTAGTGTGTAGTTCCAGGAGGGGAGGGCTAATGATATTTGCACACATTTGGAAACTTAGAAAGATTTTTGTTAACTTTATTTCAAAATGGTCTCTAACTGTTTAAAAAGTTGCCAACTGGTTTCAACCGCTTGGTGTTTTTTATTTGGGAAAAATTATAGTCATAAAAATGATAATTTTGTTAAAAATAATTTCCTTAAATTTTTTTTTTAAGTTTCTTGATTTTTAATGAGGTGAAGATGATTTTTAAAACAAAGTTTTCTGTTGTAGGTCTAATTTTATACTATTTGTGAAGCAAATGTTTTCATGCGATAAACACTGAATACAATGTTTGTTTATTTATATGTTAATCATCTCTAACAGGCTTAAATGCATTTTATCAATAGAAATACACTGATTATAAATTGAGACTCTATAGCTGGACTATTTGTGTTGTACGCCATACCTTAGAAGAAACCTGAACATTAAAACTGAACTACCCCACACGGACTTGCAAAGTGCATGGAAGTTTTTAAAAAGTTGAGGCTATTCCTTATTCATATTTTAGAACAGTTAGCACTGGGTTTGGCAGACAGAAAATACTTACTCAAAAGCAACATATGTCAGGAGAGTTGCTGCTGAAAAAATAGCAGATATTCCACATCCAATATAGGTGATGAAGGTGAGAACTCTAGTGTTTCTGGCATCTATCTGTGAGGCAGATCCTTGAAGGTCCTATACAAAACATGCAAAGCCGCTGTAAGAATCTTCTTTTTCTAAGGGTGCTTTTGTTTTATTAAGAAGTCCCTTGCCAGGACTTAGAATCTCAGGTCAACCTTAGGAGTTAAAAACAACAGTGTAAATCAGCATTGAAATTTCCACTTATCATACTCTTGTGGATCACTCCATGAAACAAAATATAGCATTATTGAGGGAGTTACAGATGGATTTTATCTATTACTTTGTTACTCAAGCTCTTTTCACAGTAGTATATCTTGAACAGCAAAACCACCGGGTTCCCCAATAGAAATTAGGGAGTAGGTCCTTGCTTTGCACAATAGTTATCAAGCCCATTCTTAACCTTTACAGTGTTGGGGGCACAAGTTCAAGTGGGAACCCTTGTGGCCCTCATGACCAAGCCCTTGGGTGAGTCCTTTGCCAGGTAGGGAGGAGCTCAGCCAGTAGATGGCCAGAGGTTGGTGCTGCACTGTGGTTGTCAGGCGCTGAAAGTGGCGCTGAGGCTCCGAACTCCTGTGTTATCCCAAAGCTCGGTGGGTATCGGGTAGAGTGGTCTTTATCTTTTTTCATAAATGAGAATTCATTAAGACATTTGTGGTCATAATTTTTATCTTTATAGACCTGAAAAGTAATACATAATTATAAGCTCATAATAAGATTTAAACGATTTTGAAGAAACTACTGATTATTCAAAGTAATGGGAAGCCAAACTTTGTTATATATAAATCACCTATGAATAAATAGTGAAAATGTACCATGTAAAATGTTAGGGGTTGCATGTTGAGTGGAAAGAAGTAAACACTTTTTCTCATACTAATAAGAAGTGTTCACTGTGTTGAGGCAGTCTTGCAAAGTCTGAGCTTGGTAGAAAAACTGTTCTTGTCTTGCTTAACTGGGGAATTGGGATAAATCTTGAGACCAACCATTCAATCCCAGTTGGAGAAGAAAGAAACCTTCATTATGCAGATATTCTAAAACAGAGCTTTCTTAAAGAAGGGACATCCTCCAAAAAAGAATATCTGATTTAAACTTTTAGGTTTAAATTATGAAAAAAATATGTGTTGTAAGTGTTTCATTCTATTCGGTGAAAAGTAGTAGAAAATAGAATGAAACACAACACATCCAGCAAGTGGTGTTTGCTGTATGTACATGTGTGTGAAATGAAGACACAGACTTAGTTCCAGGTTTGGCTGATGCAGTGAGGAGCAGGGTCAGCAGCACTGTGACACCAAGAAAGGTACAAAGTGATAGAATTCAGCAGGTGCATGGGCTCAGGGTTGGCGGGGGGGGGGGGGTGAGGGGGGTGTCTTTCTCTATCCTCTCTAAAAATCCCTCAAAACACTGGAGGGGAATCCTGAGTCACATGGGATGGTATTGGAGTCAGTGCTACTTGACTCACAGATAGGTGACCTCAACCAATATTTCAGTGACCCCGAGGTCTCCCTGAGTCAGCGAAATGGTCTTGAGGAACCTCCGAGTGACTTGCCTTTACTGCTTGAAAAAACTATGGCTCCTAGCTAGGCCAGGCAGTTGACCTGCAAACCACAACTTAAAGTGTGAAGTGAAATAATTTAAAGTGTGAAGTAAGTAAAATAATGCTATTTTACTGATGATACCAATTTACACTCTAAAATCATACTATTTTGTATTTTTAGAGAATGAAAAGTACACATATATTTATTCCTTTGAACTAGCCAACAATTCCTCTGATTGTTAAAAATATAAAAATCAGTCTTACTACAAAGAAATATAGCAGAGCCATTAAAGTCTTCATATATTTTTAGATTAGAAGATATTATTTTGGGGTCAGAGGTACATTATTTAAAATTCTCATATGGCAAATGTGTTATGGAGCAATGTAGACTGGGGATTTCTTGTACGAGTGAGTAAATAGTTTGTAAATCAAGAAAGATTCTGAAAAAAGTCTTGGTGGTCTGGAAAGCTGAAAGGATGTGGGCACATCGCCAGGAAGGATAAATTCTGGAAAATTTTTCTTCCAGCAGTTTCTAAACTCACAAAAACAGCCAACGTGGAAAGTGGAAGTATAGCACTAAAATATGCATAGAGCCATTTGCATATAAAGCTCATTATTTAATCAGTCTACAATTGAAAAAGTCATACATATTACAAATGCATGATAAAATGTAAACAATTTTGAAGAAACTACTGATTATTCAAAGTAATGCGAAGCTAAACTTTGTTACATATATGATAGATCATCTCTTAACAGTGAATTGTGCTACTGTTATCTATTACCTAATATTAGACTTACAATACAATCACGCTCAAACACACACACACACACACACACACACACACACACACACACCTGCACACAAATACAGCTGAAGTAGTTAAATCAATTAAGCTAAAGCTTATATACCTGAATGAGTAATAACACATTTTGTGTATAAGGAATAATAATGTAATGCATAGTGTTTTCTGAAAGAATGTTCTCATTTTTTTAATCACTTAGTGAAAACACACTACAGTGTAATTGTTCATTTTCATGCCCGGGTGATAAAGGAAAAACTATATTTTGAGAAAGTTAAGAAGTTTTATTCTGTGATGGTCACCCTTTCAAGTGACCTGTTCCTATCCTTCAGATCGTTTATGTACTGGGTTGTCAGGAAAATAACAACTCGCAGCATTACCACAAGACAATATCCATTTACATTGGCCAAGAGGATACATGAGCCAAATACTACATCACAGAGTCCTCACAGCTTCCTCCCAGTCCCAAAGGAAGTGGGTGTAAGGTTTAAGGGAGGGAATAAATGTAACCTGATGTCTGTGATTCCAATGCATAGAGCTTTATTGCCTCAACCCACATTTCCCCCATCTTCCATTAAACAGCAAATGTGCTCTGGTCCCTTTATAGAAACTACACAGAAACAATGGCTCTGCTATGATCTGAAGGGCACACTACAAGAAAAGTGTCCACTGCCCTAGCTGGTTGGGCTCAATGGACTAAAGGGTCCCAGGTATGATTCCAGCCAACAGCACATTCCTGGGTTGCGGGCTTGGTCCCCAGTGGGGGGCATGCAGGAGGCAGCTGGTCAATGATTATCATCATTGATGTTTCTATCTCTCTCTCCCTCTCCCTTCTTCTCTGAAATCAATAAAAATATATCCACACTAATAAAAGAGAAATAAGAAAATTGACATCTGGGATGCACACCAGCCAATCAGGAGTGGGTATGCAAATTAACCCAACAAAGATTGAAGGTTACTTTGCATATGCAGACACGGAGCAGCCGGGGGGCAGGGCAGGAACATCCCTGGACCCAGGCGCTCATAGCTGGCATGTGTGCAAGTGGCCAGGGGTAGGGTGGAATTGTCCCCTGTAGCGAGCTTGCAGACAGCAGGGCCCTGCTTGCCTCTGGCTGTGGCAGCAAGGGGCAAGCAGTCCTCAACAGGGCCCCCACAGAGAGCAGACACCAGGGCCTGTGGTGGCGTCAAGCAGGCAGGTCCACAGAGAGAAGACAACCATGGGAGCAATCCTAAACCATCAGTAGGACATCACCAGAGAGTTCCCAGATTGGAGAGGGTGAAGGTTGGGCTGAGGGACCCCGCACCCCCATGCACAAATTTCGTGCATTGGGCCCCTAGTCATAATAATAAAAGGCTAATATGCAAATGGTCATCACTTTGTGATAAGTAATGACCAATCAGAAGGGACCTGAGACTGCATATCCATGGCTGAGGCAGGGGACTTCAGGCCATGCCCCCCACCCAGCAAGGCTTGTTGGGAGGCCATGCCCCCTACCCCAGTGCCAAGCCGGGGGACCTGAGGCTGCACCCCCCTCCTGGTGCTAGGTTGGGGGACCTGAGGCTGCACCCCCTGCCTGTCTGGGCTTGACAGGGGTGGGGCCAGTCAGGTCTGGGTCTCCTGAGATTTCAAAGCCTGTGCAGGTTGGCAGGGACTTGACTCTGGGTCCCGTGGTGTGCCCCAGACTCTTACAGGAGGGAGATTTTCATATACATTTTATTAATTTTCTTTCACCTCTGATACTTCTCTAACAGAGAAAGGGAAAATAGCAATATTAAAATATTTCCTCTCATCAATTCTCTTTTAATGTGCATAAATTTCGTGCACCATGGCCACGTGTGTGTGTGTGTATGTGTGTGTGTGTGTGTAATAAAAAAAAGAAAAGTGTCCACATACCTCGAGTATATCAGATATAAGTAAAGGTATAACTCTGTGGATGAATTCAAAAGTATCATGTTGATATTCTTGTTTCTAGAGTTATTTAACGCTATAGAAAAAAAAAGTAGGTTCCTTTTCTGCAATTACTTTTTATTTAAAAAAATATATTTTACTGATTTCAGAGAGAAAGGGATAAGATTAGAGAAACAGTAATATCAATGTTGAGAGAGAATTGTTGATTGGCTGCATCCCACCCTGGGGATCGAGCCCCATAACCTGGACATGTGTCCTGACCAGGAATCAAAACCTGATCTCCTGGTTCATAGGTCAGTGCTCAACCATTGAGCCATGCTGGCTGGGCACTTTTGTATGTTTTTAATATATGATCTCTGTTACTTAGATTCTTCATTAAGAATCGAGATTCAGGGCACAGATGAAAATTATCAGTAAATAATCCCCCAAACACATTAGCTCAAAAGGCTGACTCACACAAAAAAGTATGCCTAAAAAATTATATTACTTCAAATGGATTTCAAAATCCTCCCCTACCATCAGAACTCCAAAGTGTGTGAGGTGGTTACACAGGCAGACCGTCTCGCTGGCATCTGAATCTGTGTGAGCCACGCATCCCGACGTGTTCCAAAATCCAGACCCTTCTGTGGGGGGAAGTCAGCAAACAATGAAAACAAGGGCAGGTCAGTTCCTTCTCTATTATGGATGGGTTCTTCTTTAGAGAAAATGCCTCCATATCTCCTGCCTCATAGTTTATCTGTAACAGGCATACTATTTAAAGCTAAATACTTTTTTAAAAAAATTATTTTATTGCTTAAAGTATTACAAATAGTAGTACATATATCTCCTTTTTTTTTTTTTTTCCATTGACCTTCCCCAGCTTCCCCTATCCCCTGGCTCCTGTCCCCTCCACCACCACGCCTTCTCCCCTCTTCCCCCCCCCCCCCCGTGAATTGTGTCCATTAATTATGCTTATATGCATGCACATGCATACAAGTCCTTCCTTTGATCTCTTACCCCACCCCACCCCCCTTCCAACCCTCCCCAGCCTATAGATTCCTGGAATCACAGAGCATTAGTGCTGGGTGAGCAGCTAGAGGTGACTTGCCAGTGGTTTTCAAATGTGTTCCTCTCAAGCACTTCAGGGGCTCTGCCAAAGTTTGACTCTAGTTTAATTTCTAGTATATTATAAGACAAACTTTCCTAAAAGGGAATATTCCTTTCCAAACATGTAATATACCAATGAAATCTCTAGAAATCAACTTTCCCCCCTTTCGGGTCAGTCTATGTTTGAACGACGAAATGAGAACAGGAAGGCTTTTCTTGAAACCTGCTATCATGGACACAGCAGTGGTGCATAGCAGCAACTTCCGATAAATGCCTTTAATACATCTGTCCTGACTTTTATACCATGCTGTGGAATGTGAGCAGCTCATATATTTGAAGAATGTTTTAAGAATGCAAGGTAATATCATTTAAAATTATGTATCTAGTAAATCAGGAACTTTTCAAAAACGTGAAACTAAAAATCAAACAAAAAAACCTTTCCAGCTGTGATAGAGTATCGAGGAAAAGATGACCCTGGACATCTGCAGGTACATTTCTGCCAAGAAGCAGGATAATCCCAATGGGGACCCCAAGGGAAGGGGACTTTTAGGGGGTAGAATTGGGAGGTTTCATCACTGGTCCTTCCCTTCAAAGAGATCTCCACACCTCACACCTCGTGATCAAACTCTGAATTTTGCCTCTGCGTCCTGACTGCCAAACGTCATTCTAGCGTCAGTTCACTTATTCCAAGTGGTATACAGCTATTATAACCATTCCTCTCTTTCAGCCTTTCCTTGGGCTTTCTCCCATAATCTGAGGTCCGCAAGCTGGATTTCTAATTATATGCCTTATGCATATCTCAAAACCTCCTCAGAAGTGTCCTAGAAAAGGGAGGTCAAGTGCACATAGATGTTCATCTGAAATGGCAATACAAATGTTACTCTATTTTATAAATAACTGAAATTAAAGCAGCTGTTTGAATTTTTAAATAGTCAAGCCTTTCTATTTCCATTTACAATGCATAAAAAGTTTTAGAAATTAGAATTTGGTTCCCAAGCTACCCAAACTAAAATTTGCAGCTCAGTTGACATCACACTTATATTGTGACTCACTTTATTTTGGGGTGGAATGAAAAGATACAGGGTTATCTAACAATGTTTAAAAGTCAGTTGTTATTAAGACAGCCAATATATTTGAAAACTTACCATTTTTGTTCAGATCCCAGAAGGCACAGATGGGATTAGGCACTGCCTGTATTAACATAAGAATAAAAAATGTGACATTGTGTTTAAAATAAATGGAAAAATCCTATGGTTTGGATATGGGAAAAGAGTAAAATGCTAAGGTTTTTCACAAAGAAATGGGTCAGCATTAGTCATACCAACAGGACCTACGAAAGACAGGCAATCAAGGGGTAACCTCTTCTCACACACACTTCAGGTGGAAATCAACTATAACCGCATGAGGAATTGTGTTACTCATTTACCTAAAAGTTACTCTATATGCCCCATCATAAAATGCTGTGCACTTAGCAAAACTCTTTACAGGGTAATTTTACTTCCTCTTTAATCTTCTCCTTTATGTCTAGTATATCCCCAAAGAATTGAAAGTAGGGAATGAAATCGGAATTTGCACACTCATGTTCATAGTAACATTATTCACAATAGCCAAAGGTAGAAGAAATCAAAGTGTCCATGAATGGAAAAATGCATAAACAAACTGAGGGAGATAGGTATGTATGTACATATGTATATCTGCAATGGAATATTATTCAGACTTAAAGAGGGAGGAGATTCTGACACATGCTATATAATATGGGTAAAACTTGAAAACATTATGTTAGGTGAAAGAAGCCAGTCACAGAAGGACACAAACTGTATGATTCCACTAACAGAAGGAATCTGAGCAGTTACAATCAGAGACACAGGGAAGAATGGTGGTTGCCCGGGGCTGGGAGGGGCACGGGGAGTTATTCTATGGGGGCAGTCTCAGTGAGACTATAAAACAGTGCTGGAGATGCATGTGGTGACTGTTTCAGAACCATGTGAACGTACTCAATGTCACCAAACTGTGCCCTTAAAAGTAGTAAATTTTGTTTTGTATGTTTTACCACAATAAAGAAAAATTGTTGCCGGGACCGGTTTGGCTCAATGGATAGAGTGTCGGCTTGGGGACTGAAAGGTCCCGGGTTCGATTCCGGTCAAGGGCATGTACCCTGGTTGCGGGCATATCCCCAGTAGGGGGTGTGCAAGAGGCAGCTGATCGATGACTCTCTCTCATCGATGTTTCTAACTCTCTATCTCTCTCCCTTCCTCTCTGTACAAAATCAATAAAATATATTTAAAAAAAAAAAAAAAGAAAAAAGAAAGATTGTTACGGAGAAAGGAGCTGGGAGCTGAAACAAAGGAGGCCAGAAGGTAGAACAAGGAGGTCGGACGGTTTCGTGACAAAGCAGGGCTAGTGAGTAGATGACTTAACGTCCAAGCCTCGGTCCTTATCAGCCAGCTCACTTCCGCCCGCCTTCCTGCCTGCCTGCTTGCCTAACAAATGGTGGAATCGTGACTGGGACCCTCCATAAAAAGGGGGAATAGCCCGTGCCTGGACCACCTGGGACAACACAAACCCCCATGGAACTTTATCATGTGAACAGATGGTAGCCAGGGTAATAAAGCAATTAAGAAAGCATTTGCCAAGGTTTTAGACAACTGTTAACCTCTCAAAACTTAAGTCAACCCTGCTCCCCCTTTGTGCTCCCTGTAGCAGTGATCTTGACCTTAAAAAACAACCAAATGTTAGGTTGGAGAGGGCTGGAGGGTTGGGTGGAAAAGGTGGAGGGATGAAGAAGTACAAATTAGTAGTTACAGAATAGTCACGGGGACGTACAGTACAGGAAACACAGTCAATAATACTGTAATAACTAGGTATGGTGCTAGGCGCATTCTAAATTTATCAGAGTTATCACTTCATAAGTTACATAAATGTCTAATCACTGGGCTGTACACCTGAAACTAATATAACGGTGATCAGTGTTTCCCAAAGTGTGGTACGCGTACCCCCAGGGGTACGGGAAGAGTTTGGTGGGGGTGCACGTTGCACTGGAGTTTGGTGGGGATATGCACGGCACCGTGCTTAGCTGCGCCTAATTCTACGTTCTCATGAGTATGAGGGGTACTCAGCGTTACGGTAATTATAGAAGGGGTACACATATGTCAAAAGTTTGGGAAACACTGGACTGTACATCAACTGTAATTGAAAAATAAAGCTTATATTAAAAAGACAAAACCTTTAATGGCAAGATGGTACCACTGCATCTGCATCTAATTTATTTCAAGTAATATACTTCATTTCTTAGTGAGAGGCACTCTTTCCTTCACTCTCATGCTCCTTCTGACTATTGAGTCCTGGCTAAGGCGGATGTCCCCTGATTGCCACCATTTAATGTGATGGTAGATCTCTGTGTAATGACCCATTCTGCCCTTTCAGGAAAACCACTCCCTTCTAAAAAAAAAAAAGTGTCAGTTCCTTGTTTTCATGTAAAAGAAACAGTCCCATGTTTCCCTGAAAGAGCCTGCTTCGACTCCATCACTATTTGCAGTGTTTTCTTACCTGATTTCGTGTATGTTTGATTTTAATTCGAACTGGATCCCTCAGATTCTGGACAGTAATGTTTCCAATGCTGCATGCCATCACATAGCTCACTAAGGTGCCTTTCTTGGTCTCTACATCCTTTTAAAGAGGAAAAAAAAATGTGTATTAGTCAAAAGTACACACTTGTATTCCGCTGTTCCAAAATAAGCAAGCTGTCAGCACTTTTTACCCTTAAGATCTTGAATTATAGAACATCCTGTTTATACGTTCGAATCACTGCCTTTCCTGAAAGGGCTTTGCTATTTCCCTTATTAGAATAAATACATTTGAGAGAACATTCTGAGCCAGCGCAGCAGGCGATGTTCATAAAACTTCATCTTGATGGCTGTGACAGACGCCAGCCCATTACCATCTGAAACAATGCACCACCATAAATAATATAAACTCATAAAAAGCTGTGAAACAATTAGGTCACTTCCCTGCCCTAGAAAACAGATGAAGTCGTTTTCCTTTAGAGAAGCATGAAGAAAATAATGTTGTGGAAAATGAAGAGCAATTCATCTTTCACACCCAGGCGGAAAGCCGGACGGGTTTTCCTGATTTGCCCTACATGTAATGGGAGAAAGCTCCATTCAGACCGTCTACCTTCTCTGACTTTATACTTGCTGTGGCTACCCAGGTAAGATTGCCAGGAACCCAATTAGTGAATCTGAGCACGAAATGACTGGGACCACAGACTCTCTAGCGAGATCCCTCAACTTTCTTCTTCCCCTTGTGCTTCTTGTCAAACCTCCTGAGGTTCTCTATTGCAGTGTATACACTCAGCTGTTTTGGAATCATTACAGGGTTTCCTCCATGCCAAGTGAATCTCAGCATCTAGAATGTAGCTTTTTATTACTTTTGTGTGGTCACTCGCAATACGTTGGCTATTGCCTGGGGATACGCAGCCGTTCCTTTAAAAAAAGCAAATCTCGAATTGAGTTCACTATGTGAAGAGGGATGCATAGAACCCTTAAGTTTGCTTTACTCTGCTATGCGTACGCTTTAAAACGCACATATATTTCCCAAGAAAAACATTGACAGGCAAATACCAAAGGAGAAGGAAAAGATGATATGGAGAGGATATACCTCAAAATGAAACGATGACAGATTTTTACATCTCTAACAGTTGTCCTAAGCCTTTCCTGCTGGGCTCAACCTGCCCTCTAATCAACACCTGCCCTGGCTCAACCACCATTCATGTTTTGTGATACCTACTGCATTTTGTTTTGTTTTAAAGGTGACATTACTGTAAGCCTCAAATAATTTTCACAAATGCAGTTTTTGTTTGTTTGTTTGTTTGTTTGTTTGCATTCAGAGCTATTAAATCCTTCCGAGTAATGACAGGTAATTACATTTTTAATCTACTCAAAAAATTAATATTGCTTGTTCCTAACACATTTACTGATAAAGTTTTAAAGTTTGGTGATGAGTTAGTGTAAATGATTCCATGTTATTCCTCTTACTCACCGGTGGCCTACTTTGCCATTGCTCCACACATAACGTTCAGGGCAGACCTGTTAGAAACCAGTCAACTCTCCCTGAGACTGGCCACTTTCTCTTACACAGGTCTCTCTGTCTGACACACACTGGTATCAACATAATAGATAACGTTCATTATTTTTTTTAAGGGCTTAGTAAAATTGCCCTAGATGGGGTTGTACTTTCAAAGGTAATCGCAGGTCACCAGTGTTTGCTGGCAGTGAACTTCCTAGTATCTAGAAATGATGCCAATAAAAATGATAATATGTGCTTAGCACAATGCCACCCCAATCTGGGAATGTGTGAAGGTCAAAGGTCATTTGAAATACTAATGGGAAAACTGATTAAAGCCAAGAATGCTGCTCACTATGTAAACAGTGCTTCCTGTTGAATTAAAACAAAACAAAACAAAACAAAACAAAACCTTTCCTTGGCACATGATTCCTTTAACACTGGAGATCTAAACTGCTGGAGAGTTTTTAAATAAAATATTTAACAAAAGAAATGGCAAATAGTAACTTCTCCATAAATTCCATTTGTTCTTGTAGCATGCAAGTCTTAATCTAATATCTGATTTATTAAAAATATTTAAATGGACACATCTGTTCATAAGCATGCAATTATGTGTAATCAAATACTGAAACCTTAACATGTTTCATTTTTCAAAATATAGTAGGTTAATTTTTCTATGTCATAATTCAGTTCCAAGGAAGCTAAACTTTTATTTTCCTTTAGAGCAAAGGAACGCAATTTGCAATGCAAAAAAATAACAATTTAATGAACACTTACCTGAAAAAGTCCAGTTTTATTGAAGAAAGTAAACTGTGCTCTTTTAACTATTGCAGAATATTCTTGACTTAAGTTCTCAAGTAAGTTTAGAGGCAAAATTACGGAAGCCAATGGATCCATATGTCTGCTCTCAAAATCCATCTGTCACACACAGAGATAAATTGGTAGAGTGATCACAATGAAATCGCAATGATAACTTACTCCACATGCGGAGGAAGGCAAACAACTGCAAGCATCACCTTGGCTAGTTCCAGGGCTGCCCTGTCACTGCCCTCCTGGTGCCTTCCCCTATGGACAAAGGCATGCATCTCATGGGGCTTTCCTTATGTAGCAAAACAGGAAATGCACGGATTTTAACTAAGGTAACTGAGAAATTAAAAAACCCATTAATATTCCAAATATAAGAGTTAGATTTACATTAATATATATATATTTTAAAATATATTTTATAGATTTTAGAGAGCGAGGAAAAGAGAGAGGCGGGGGGAGGAGGTGGGAAGAGGGGGATGAGGAGAGAGAAATATAGATCAGTTGCCTCATACACATGCCCTGACAGTATCAATCCCACATCCCAGGGAAACTAACTATTGACCTTTTGGTGCACAGGATGGTGCACAACCTCCTGAGGCACTCCAGCCAGGGTGACACAATAAATTTTGAGCTTTCTCAAAACATGCAGTGAAAAATAACTACCAAAAATAAAAAATGAGTTGATCTGTTTGATTGCTGAGAATAGTATCACCGCATAGAGAAGCAGCTGAAATTTTATAAACACTTGGATGCCATTTTTCCTGATGGCCAAAGAGCGTTTTCTTGCTAATGAACTTGGAATGAAACTGAGACTGACCGAGTTTTCACTCTTAAAATGTCAAATAGGGTTACCCTAAAGAGCCCTGCATCTAAAGCAGGATAAAATCCTTCCTCACATGCAGATTTGTAAATATTTTATCTTGGCTTTTCTCCACAGTTAAGAAGTATTCCATGTTACTGTGTGTCTTCCCAGATTAAGGGCACTGTTTCAATGATTGCATTTGCCCACATATCTAACACTGTCTAGCAGGCAGTAGAAACTTAAACGTTATTTGCCGAAGCATCACTTGAACAGGTCGAATAGGGCTTCGTTACTCTGGCCCCAGCTTCCTGTCCAGCCTCACTGTCCCCTGCCTTCCCAACCTTCCCCATCACTGGCTCTCAAAGCAGGACCTTCAGACCAGCTGGATCAGCCATACCTGGAAACGTACTAGAACTGCAAATTTTTGAGATCCACCTTGTGCCAGTTAAATTAGAATCCCTGGGAAATGGGGTCCCACCCTTTGTTTTGACAAGTTCTCCAGGTTTCTAATTAAAACCCTCACCTGGGAAAGCCACTGGCAAAGAGAATATACCATATTCCTTCCACTTTGGGGCCCTTAATAAAGCTCTTTTTTCTAGATGAACTTAGACTCAATCCCCAATCCCAAAAGGGTGGACCCCTCTCGTGCTTTCATACTTAGTTCTGCTATCACCTCAAGATAAACGCCGGTCTCGATCAGCTAGGTTCTGAAGCTGTATTTCCTCTATGTGGCCACATACCTTACTTGGCATTCCAACTTGCCTGCCATCTCTCAGACCAACATTTCCTTGAAGAGCTACTTGCTATCTGTCTAATTAGTTAAAGTTAAAGAAACTACTAGCTCATACCTGAAAATATGATTCATTATTTCTTGGAAGACTGATGCTAAAATTTAAAACTTCATTAGTCTCTGAAGGTAGGGATGATATTCCAAGAGCCAAATTCCGAGTTGCGATATTCACGTGTTGGGTGCTATTTAGGTCTATCTTGAAAGCCAATTCATCAATGGTTTTTAAAGCTCTAAAGAAATGACAAATGATACCACCATTAAGTGACATGTTTTTAAGATACCTGCACACACATGATTTGCTGCAAGACAAAATACAAACCAAAAAATAATTGTGTATTTATGGCTGATCTTACAAAATTACCCAAACCACAAAATAGCACAGAAGTACAGAGATAAATATGTCCTCAAGAGAAAAATATAGGCTTTAAGGAAAACCAGCAATTAAATCATCCTAAACAAAGTCTGATTTTTACCTATTTTAGTCTTTCCTCATGTGAAGAATTTTTGCCCTACACATAACTGAGTAAGAATCAAATAAAATAATGCATAAAAGTATTTTTTTGAACTCTAAGAAACTGTAAAAAATAGTTTGTAATTATATAGCTAAGGTAAGTTATCTACATAATAATTCACTTTAACAAATATATAATTTTGATAAAGAAATTTCATTGAAAGTAAGAAAATAGGTAAGATTAAGTATCTTAATAGCAATATATTAAGTAAAATAATTAGAAACAAATAAAATTATATAAAAATAGGTACATTTTCTCTCTTTGACTTTTTCATTTCGGAAGTACAGTAACATCTCTGTGGTAATTTTATACCACAATTCATGGGAGAGTGACCAAGTTATAACTTAAAGGTGTGAGCTGAGTGTTTCCTAAGTGTCTCCTTTACAAGCAAAAAAAAAGGGGGGGGGTTTATAAATGAATATTTGAGATAATTTGTTAATCTATTGAAGTAAACTCAGTTAACATTTTTCAGATGAAAATGAAATACTGATTATGTTTTTCTGGGATTATTTAATAACTTGCCAGGTGACAATCCTAATCTTTTTGTAAATTACATATCTAGGTAAAAATAAGAAACTTTGAAGTTCACTTTGTGAATAATCTTGGGAAATATCAATGGATCTTCTAGAGATTTAAATGATGTGATCTGGGCAAGAAGCATTTAGATACGTGAGAAATGATATAACAACACATGCATCCCATAAATTTACTCTCCAGAAAAAACTTACTCAGAAGATGACTCAATCAAGTCACTGTCTGAACTGGTTAAGATATTAGAAAATATATTCATTATAGTTGAGCCAAGACTTATATCAATGTTTTCTTCTTTATTCACAATTTTTTTGACCTGTCCTACAATGTTGGTAATATTGGCTGAGCTTAAGGTCTGCCCATCACCAGTTAAATTTAAAATCTGATTGGCAACTTCATTTGCTTCCCCTAAAAAAAGAGAAAAAAACAACATGTCAAGTTTCGCCTATTTAAAAAAAAAAAATCATTTCCAGGATAAAAAAAAAAAGAGTGGTATTTAATTTCATAGTTTAAGCAGCATATCAAGTTTTCTGTGTATACCCTCTTCTAACAATCTTCACAAAGCAATGATATTTCTTCACACACAGACTAACTTCTTACTTTAGTAATACACAAATTGTGCCCTTAAGCAAATATTGGCAAGATCAATATTTACATATAGTTGTAATAGAAATGGAGACAGAATAACTGAATAAGTGATTATTTGCTATTTAAAATAATACAAAACTATAAAATATTGATATGAATATCAATGTGTATATTTTTTTAAGTTTTCTCTAAAAAATTTAAACTGATGTTAGAATGAATACAATGGGAAATCAGAATGAGGGGGAAAAAAGAGTATTTTTTATCTTAAGTAAGTAAAATTTGTCATTTGCTAGCTTTTAATATTACAATAGAATCACATGGCAGAAGAGCATGTCTGAAGAGGATGAAAACCATGAAGTATGAGGTTATTTCCATTTATCTTTGTGAATCGAAGATCATTCACTTACTTGAACAATTGGACATGTCAGGATCCAACCAGTAGATTAAAGATGTGTTGGAATGGTCACGATGACTATGAAACAAAAAAAAAGGTATTTCAAGTATTTGGCATAAATGACATAAATGATATAAATGACATAACTGACAAAATTAGGTAATGAAAAGTTTTAGAATTTGCCTTGATATCTACGTGTTTCATTTGAAAATAAAAGTGTAATATATTGAAATTAAACTGCTATTAAAAATTCTTATTGGAAAAAAATCAAGTGCATGAATCATGGAAACAAAACACTAGTAAGGGCTTTTAGGCTAATCTAGGTGCATCAGGTTACTAAGGCTAAAGCCATATTTGCTAACATGGGTCAAGTACCACTTTAAGAACTTTCCAGGTAAAAATCTGACATTATTTCACATAACTCTGTAAAGCAGAGTACAGTTCACATCTTATAGATGAACATAGACTAAAATAAGTCAAGGGATTTCCAAGGTCTCAACCAGGAAGAGGCAGAGCCATGCTTCACACACAGGTCAATGTCTACAGACCCCTTGTCCTCCCACCATGTGTAGAACACAGTAGTACCAGACATCCTCCGAAAATAAGACCTAGCGCATGGAAAGATAAGACATCCCTTGAAAATAAGATCTAGTGCAACTTTGGGAGAAAAAAATTAATATAACACACTGTCTTATTTTCTGGGAAACAGAGTAGGAGCAAAGTTTCTACTTCCGAAGCCCTCACCAAGAAAACCCTAATTTTGGATGTGGTTGAGGGCAAAGAACTGGATTTGACCTGTGGTTTCTGTTAAACATTCAGGGAAAATCTGACAGTCCCTCTTAGCAAATTGCATGACCCAGATCCTACCTTCCTTCCCTCTTTGGCTGCCTCTTCTCCCTTCAACAATAGCTATCCCAGGTAGTTAAAAAAAAAAAAAGTCTTGGAATTTCACATGCATGGCCAGAGGCTGTCGGCTAGCTTGGTCCATCCATATATAAGGTGCTTTGCTCTAGAGCTACCCTCTGGCTTCCAAACTTCTCCATCTTTCTTTGGAGAAGGCTAAATTTAAATGTTTCCTGGAGTAAGTAAAAATGCTTGTATCGGTAGCCTGCCTCATCCTTACCTCTCAGGGAGGTTATCATTAGGCACACAAAGATATTCTTTCTAAACAATAAACAATGCCTGTGAACTGTGGTGCAATATGTGGAACCCTGCCAAGGTAGCTGATGTGGAGTTTGCTGACAAAAGTCAATAAAGGTATTACCAGGTCCGTGAAGCATAAAAGCCCGGCTTCCCTGGACAAAGCTGCTTGTGTTCAGAAGGTGGGATGACTGGCCAGTGAAAGCCTCTGGGATTCTCCTCCGCAGGACATGTGCCTACGTGAAAATAAGAGCCAACATGAGAAACATTAATCTATTCTTTGACGTTAGAGGTGTAATTTGACAGCAAGACAGCAATGCTGCTAATTAGGTATTTATTTCATGTACTGCCAAATTACTAGATTTTTGTATTCTGAATTTGTAACAACCTGAAATTAGAAATTTGGAAAAATAACCATTTACTCCATTTCAGATGAAAAATTATTACAGCTTACAAACCATCAAATGAAAACATACACTTAAGAGAATATATCACTCTAAAGGAAATCATTAGCAGGTAAAATGAGTACAATAAAGGTTTGTTTAAAAAGGACTATATAAAATGAAAATGGTCCTGAACACTTCAAAATGTAAATTTTCCTCGGATTTTTTTTTTCAAAGGGGAACGCCTATCAAATAATGTCATCAAGCTGTGGGGGTATTTTCCGAAAAGTCTCCAGCTGCTCGGAAAGCATCTTCTGCCTGTCTGTTTGCTGGGGGAATGGCAAGAAGACACCTCGTGAGCCACCACCACCCATCTTACACACACGCCTGCACCCTCACTTCATCTCACCTGTTGTTTGAAAACTCTCTCAGGAAGTGCCACCCTATAAATGATTGAGGTTTTACAACATAAAAAATATCAAAAAGAGTCTGACTTGTATTGCCCAGTGGTTGAGCATCAACCTGTGTACCAGAGGGTCATAGTTTGATTCCCAGTCAAGGGACATGTCCAGTTTATGGGCTCAATCCCCAGTGGAGGGTGTGCAGGAGGCAACTGATCAATGATTCTCTCTCATCATTGATGTTTCTCTCTCTCCCTTTCCCTTTCCCTTCCTCTAGAAATCAATAACAATGCATTTTTTAAGACACCAAAAGAAAATCAATATATCAATAACAATGACAACAACAAAATCTTGTATTTCAGTACTGAAAAAAAAAAAAATAGAAAGTTATACCATACTGCTGGGAACCAGTACTGCAGTCACTGAATGAATTTTTAAAATGACTTTCCCATCTATATTGCAAGCTTTAAAATTGCCAAGGGTTAGCCCTATTTTTTTTTCTCAATTAGCAGAAACTTTTCTTCACAGATCCACTTGCAGAAAACAATAAAGCACAGGATCTAAGTTGGGTGGTATAAATTACATGGAAAGGTATCGAGAGAGAGTTGTTCTGGGGTTCCTCGGCCTTTGAAGACAGAGTAAGGGCTGTCCTCCATCATATATAAACTACCACTCATCAGCTGCTTCTTTGTGGAGACAACTATGTGTGAAAGAGCAGCATCTGTACCCAACCCACCCCCAAGAAGCCCCGTCTGTAAATAAGCAAGCATTTTCCCAAAGAGGCTCAGAAACTGTTGATGATGACAGTGACGATTTGTGTTCTTCCATTTCTAGGAGTTCTCTGTAACAATAGAGATGGGAGGTTCCTGGTAGAAGGAAGATGCTTGTTCTTTATTACACTGTGTCTGGCCTTAGTTATAACCATGGTCCCAGAGACTGAGGAATACTAGCTTCCCCCACTTCAACCTCCTGTGTGTGTATATGGCCAAGTATCAAAGTTTTGTTTTATCTCTACTAATGTACCTAATCATAATATAATTGTAATAATAAAATAACTTTAGAACAATAAGCCCTGGCTGGGTAGCTCAATTGGTTAGAGCCTCGTTCTGATATGCCAACATGGCGGGTTCAACCTCAGGTCAGGGTACATACAAGAATCGACCAATGACTGTGTAAATAAGTGGAACAACAAATCTCCCTCCCTCTCTCGTTCCTTCCTTCTCTCCCTCCCTTCCTCCTTCCCTCTCTTTCTCCCCCCTTTCACTTTAAACTTTACTTTCTACTGTCCACATTTTTGATCATTTGCTTTTCTATAATATTCCCATCAAGCCTCACTTGTTTATTTATTTAAGTATTTTAGTGCTGGGGGGAGGTGGGAAGATAAAGAAAATAAGGTATGTCCTCAAGCCAGAGGAAATTCCTGTTTACAGAAAATATATGTAAGAACACACCTAAGTCCAGTTAAATACTATGGTCTTCTAATGTCTACAATACTCTAGATATCTGTACAACCTAGAGTGGTGGCTCAAAGGCAGTAACATCTATTTATACATGGATGATGACAGAAAAGGCTTAATAGAAGAGGTGAATCTGGGTTCTCCTTAAAACTTGGTAGGTGATGAGTAGGTGGATGGTGAGATAGAGAAGAACAGCATGAGCAAAGACAAAGGAAGGAGGCACAGCATGCTGGGGAAGTGCAAGCAGTACCACATGTGAGGTTGGAGCTTAGGATGTGAATGTTGTCTAGATAAGAATTGAATCTAAGTCCTGAATAACTCACAGATTTCTGGCCCATTCCTGCAAAGTAGTGTCATTAACAAAGACTTAAAACATAAGAGAAGGAAATATTTTATGGTAAGAAATTACCTTTTTTAAGACTTCATTTATGTTCCCATATGCATATATACTAGTAGACACTCTCTTTCTTCCTAAAGTTGAAGCCAAATCTGGTCAAGACTCTTCTGGCATTGTGCTCATACCCTTAGTATTTTTGTAATGCATCCCTAAAAGAGAGTATAAACTCTGCCCTGCCTTGTTCATTCCTTTAGATTCATAAGTATTGAGTTGATAGCTTTTACACTAACTATGTCATCCATTTGTTACAATATCACCACTAAGATAAGTTTCATCATAAAAAAAAAAATACCTTTAAATAAGGAAACAATACACATAGGAAAAATATTTGTTATTGCAATTAAACCTGAATATATAGTCATACAGCATACATATAATAAAAAAATTAAAGGCACTTACCCATTTGATTCACACTCACTGTATACAGCCTCAAGCCCTCATCCAGGGACTCATTATTTTTTAAGAGCTTCTGCTGAATGACTTTCCCTTCTAAATTGAGATTGTTGGTAGCATTGTAAACTAGAAGGGCCCAAATTGCCAATCTAGGGAAACATTGTAGATAAAACTGTTGTTGGATTGGCTGTTTTTATGTAGAAAAATAGAACATCTGGGTATGGCAGTAAGAGGGATGAACATAAAGTCTGACACTAAAAAGATATTCCAAGGCACACATAGACTTCTATTGCTGTATAAATGATAGTCAAAAACACCTCAATGTAAATGGATTTTATAGGATATTATTTTATAATTCTATCATATATCATTTCACTCCATTTCTTTTTTATCATTTGAACTGATTTTTTAAATGTATCTTTATCGTTGAAAGTATTATAGAGATCTCCCCTTTTTTCCCCATTGACCCGCCTCCACATGGCACCTGCCACACCATCCCATGCCTTCACTTAACTATTATCTATGTCCATGGATCATGCATATATGCATATATGAATATTTCTTTGGTTAATCTCTGATTTTTTTATATATACATTTTATTGATTTTTTTTAACAGAGATAAAGAGAGAGGGATAGAGAGTTAGAAACATCGATGAGAGAGAATTATCGATCAGCCGCCTCCTGCACACCCCTCCCACTGGGGATATACCCGTAACCATAGTATATGCCTTTAACCGGAATTGAACCCGGGATCCTTCAGTCCGCAGGCCGATGCTCTATCCATTGAGCCAAACTGGTTTCGGCTCTGATTTTTTTAAAATTATTTTTTAAAAACCCATTACTCTTGCAAAAACACTTTTAGTAATACTAGGCCCAGCACATGAAATTCGTGCATGGGGTGTGTGTCCCTCAGCCCAGCCTGCATCCTCTCCAATCTGGGACCTCTTGAGGAATGTCTTGAGGGACATCTCTCTCACAATCCAAGACTGCTGACTCCAAACCACTCACCTGCCTGCCTTCCTAATTGCCCCTAACAGCTTCTGCCTGCCAGCCTGATTATCCCCTAACCACTCACAGCCTGATGAAAACCTAACTGGCCCAATTGCCCCTAAATGCCCTCCCTGCCGGCTTGGTAACCCCTAACTGCTCTGCCCTGCTGGCCTGATTGTCCCCAACTTCCCCCCCCTCCCAGCCCCTGCAGGCCTGGTTGCAAACTGCCCTCCCCTACAGGCATGGACCCCCTTAACTGCCCTCCCCTTCAAACCTGATCACCCCCAACTACCTTCCCCTGCTGACCATCTTGTGGTGGCCATCTTGTATCAACATGGGGGCAGCCATCTTTGATTACATGGGGAAGCAATCTTGTATGTTGAAGTGATGACCAATTTGCATATTATCTCTTTATTATATAGGATTTTATAGCATATATGCAAGAAAGGAACATGTTTAATTCTAGTTAATGTATAGCTAACAATAGTTTGTTAGAAAAATTGAATTTCAACAATCTGACTACACTGATCATTTGAATTTTGAAATTATTCGTGTGTTACATTTCTCCATAATTTTGATAACTGATTTTCCATCTCAATGAAATATTTGCAAGTACTTGGTGAAAAGTTATGAAATATTCAAAATATATTCAGTGATTGACCAGTATATTAAGAAGTTTATGGGCTTTGAATATTTTAAAAAATATATGCTTCTATGGGAAATAGAGATATATCCTAAAAGTCCTATCCAAACTTTTGGCTCTAAAATTAGTTTGAAGTAATATAATTTTTGGCTGAACTATAATCACAGCCATAGTCAATAGCAGAAATAAAAAACTATTAATTTAACATTGAGGGGAAATTAAATGAAATTATTTTGTCAGGTAGAAGAGAAATATTTTCCCTTATATGTGAAAACTCTGCATTTACAAAGAACTTTCATCTTCATATTCTAAGGAGAAATTAATAATATGATATGTCATTATATTATCAATATCAGTGACTGTCCACATGCCAAAGACATTGATTTCAAAATAACTATAAAGCATTCAATGGAGCAGCATTATAGACTTTATTTATGAAATCTGGGAGGTACCAATAAAAATGAAAAAGTCAGAGTATTAATATATTTGTGGTACTAAAAGAAAGAATAAGTGAAATATTTGTTATTGAAGGTTAGGGGGAATTAAAGAAGAGTTGTATTTCTTCCCTAAATGCCTATACTAATATCAAGGACAAAATGCTCTATTGTTTTCATTATTCACTTTGAAGGGCTATTTATCTCCAAAATGATGTGCTGCTTAATGTTCATGTTTAAGACGTATTTCAAGATAATTCAAACATAGATTTGAGTGACCTGGCATAATAGTTTTTAAACATAGCTTATAAAAAAAAAAGTAAACACTGATTAAATTATCATTGAAAAAGAAGTTTTGCCACTCCAGTTACTGAGAACTTCCAGTTGGGTTTGTGACCTTCTGCTTTCCTTGAATATTGAGAACATAATTAGCACAATGTATTGTGGATGATGGTGAATACCCAATTCAGCAATTCAAGAAAGAGCTCACATTGTTACAGGTCTTATCTGGATTGTTTCTCTCTCTCATCCTGAAAACTAAAACTATTCTGTAGCTCTACAAAGTCAGGCTCTATCTGTTGTTAGTATCAATCATTCTTTATTTGAATAAACCAGTCTCTATGGTTTTGGTTTCCTGTCTGTCTAGGCGATGTAGTGTGATGGCGTTATCTGAAGCTCTAGTCTGTGTTAAGTGTTACAATCAAATTGAAAGGAAAGTTTGGAGGGAAAAGAGTATGTGGAAAACTAGTAGACTGTGGTTTTTAGAAAAAGTATGAGGGACTATAAAAGCTTATAAGGAGCATTAGAAAATAGGAAAAAAGAGAGGGCAGGAAAAACTATGAGAATAAATTTTCAAACGTCAAAAGTTTATACCAAAGAAAAACTAAATGTGTGGATTTTCCTATATATACTGTTAGAGTTCACTCTCCCTATAATTTTCTCTGAAGTTTCCCACTGGTTTGACAAACAGGAAACCAAGACTCCATGACTTTAAATTTCTTTTAAGCAAGAGTTTCTGAGGTATTGCCATATACTATTGTTGGCTGATTATAGTACTGTCAAATAGGGGAAGAATTACAGTAAATGAACTAAAAAGGGCAAGGCTCACTCCCTAACAAAGTCTACTACATGAAAGCAGGGTGGCCCCAAGCGCTAGACAATATCCAGCAAGGGATCCTGATCACTGCTAGATTCACTATTGAAGGCTCAATATGATCTAGCAATAGGATTAGAGGAGACATTAATTGGCTAAAAAGAGGAGAAAAGCCCATCAAAAATATCGTATTAAAATACATTACTCTATCCCTCAGATCATAAAGGAAAATGAATTGTGACACAATAAAAACTTTCCCTAATCAGATGGCTCGATCCAATGTGTTGAATATATACAGAAATGATGAGCTTCAAATATAACTTAAATTTTTATTTTATTTAGTGTTGAACAAAAAAGAACAAGAAAACTTGCTGGTCAACTCTTGTTTGAAATTTTATTTTTATCTTCTTATAATAATAATATGTGACCTGAAAAGAAAGTGTATTCCATCATCATGGTTGTAAATCCATAATTTAAATTCAGTCCATTGAAACAGAGCAAGACTTTTGCTCTTCTAGTAATTCTTTTTAATTCTATGGAGTTGCAAAATAGTACATAAACTTAACTAAGGAGGTTAGGTATGTCATGCTGAATAGTTGTTTTTTTTTTTATATGCCAACTGATTATATATGGTGCAATATCCATTAAGTTATCTGCCTGTTTAAGTCGTGATCTTGATATAAGCTTAAAATGCAGAATTCAGAAAATTAACTGATGGTTTCACATGCAGGACATATTTTGGCCCATATTGCCCATATTGTTACATGATGCTATCATACATAAATACATTGTTTTTAAAAAGCTAAAACAGCCAAAACCGGTTTGGCTCAGTGGATAGAGTGTCGGCCTGTGAACTGAAAGGTCCCAGGTTCGATTCCGGTCAAGGGCATGTATCTTGGTTGTGGGCACATCCCCAGTGCAAGGGGGGTGTGCAAGAGGCAGCTGATTGGTGATTCTCTCTCATCAATGTTTCTCTCTATCCCTTTCTCTTCCTCTCTGTAAAAAATCAATAAAATATATATAAAAAAATTAAAAATAAAAAAATAAAAAGCTAAAAGAATTTTATTTTTTTGCTTAAGGTCTATTTGAAATGAGAGGTAAATGGCTATTATTTAAAAAAAAAAAACTGGAAATACTAAAACTAATAATTCATCCATTTAAAATGTCCTATTTCTGAATTATTTTTCCTCAGATGTATATTGTATCCATTCTGCTATATTACAGTTTCAGCTCTAAGAAAGAAACCAGTGTGCATTAATGATAAAGAAATAATCTAGCCGGCACCGGTTTGGCTCAGTGGATAGAGCGTTGGCCTGCGGACTGAAAGGTCCCGGGTTCGATTCTGGTCAAGGGCATGTACCTTGGTTGCGGGCACATCCCCAGTAGGGGGTGTGCAAGAGGCAGCTGGTCGATGATTCTCTCTCATCGACGTTTCTAACTCCCTATCCCTCTCTCTTCCTCTCTGTGAAAAATCAATAAAATATATTTTTTTAAAAAGAAATAATCTAAATGTGCTATGTGATTAAAATGTTTCTCTCTTATCTCATTGTTTTAATTTCTCTACCAGAATGTTAAAATGAAGAGCAAGAGACAGGGTGTTATACTTTCTGTAAGACTTTCTCAGTGTTACCTTTGATCCGTTCCAATGCTTCTCTTGACTTTAATCTTGTCCTCTCTTAAGGTCAGGTTTATACTATAAATAAAAATATATAGATTCATTATCAACCGATTTGCCATTACTATCAACAACAAAATGTGAGGAGTTGAAAGAAAGAGGCAGAATACAATGTACATTCTGAGGCAGCATGTCCAAATGTGTGTTCTGAGTAGTTCTAGTTTTTCATATGCATGAGACAAAAACTAGCTGCATGTTCAAATAAGCTAGGCATCTATGTTCCCATGCTTTCTTTTCAAGATTCACTTGCATGTTAGTATACTAAAGCATCTGAGATAGACAGAGCTACTTCCTGAATCCATTTGACTAACTGACCTCTTTCCTTGTGTTATTATGCCTCTTGGGTATACAGAATATATGCTTAGGTTTCACAAAATACATTTTAGAAAACTAATTTCAGTATGAAACTGTGAAAACAAGGTGCAGAGGAGCATATGTGGGTGCTATATCTGCTTGTGCTTTAGTGAAGTATTTAAATAGAAGAGAGATAATTTTGAAAAGTTAAGCTGTAATCAGACTGTAGATGCCCTATTTTATTTAAAAAAAAAAAAAAAAAAAAAAGGTCTCCAAACTAGAATGTATGCAACCCAGGGGATGCTCTAGATGACCTCCTGGGGTTCTGAGAAGAAACTAATATTTAATTATAATCTTTTCAATTGTGGTACATTATAACATATAATATATTCATTAAGTAACACACACACACACACACACACACACACACACATATCTGTATATAAAAGCCTCATATGCAAAGTGTCCCTTGGGAGTTTGCTATGACATGCACTGATCACCAAAGTGGCGTGGAATGAAGAAAGGTCCCAGCCAGCAGCCAGAAAGCCCTGATAGGCCCTGATCACCAGCCAAGCCTAGAGACCCTACCTGTGCACGAATTTTGTGCACCAAACTTCCAGTGTATACATAATTTCTTTAAAATCACAAATACAGGCTAAATTTGAAAATAAAATAATTAGGATCCAAAATCAATACATTTTTTAAATTACTGCTGCAACACTGAAGCTTTTTTGTAAAGAAACAACATAACATAGAATTGTTGTAGAAAGATTACCAATATGGTACATGTGTGTATGTGTGTGCTAGTGTGTGGGGATATAATCAGAGAAAGATGGAGTAGTGTAAAATTAGATACTACTTTTTATTTCTCAAGTAATTCATAGTGTCATTTACCTGATCTTAATCACGTAAACAGTATAGTTCCAATTTTGGAAGGTTGAATTAAGCTGAAAAATACAATGGAAAAGGGTGAGTTTTGGTAATACTTAAAAAAAAAAATCCGAATCAAGTTTCTTCCCTCCCAAAAGATAAGTTGTTTTTGGAATAAGACCCTGGGAAAATCCCAGAGAGCAAAAGGAGTGAAAGAAAGGTAAAGATAACAGTTAATACATCATTTTATGCCAAGAACTTTACAAATGCTATTTCTTTTGACCCAAAACAATAAATGAGATAGGTATTATCTGCCCCTGCTGCCTTTTAAAGGAAGAAAGTGAGCTTAACAGAGAGCTAACAGAGATGGAATAGCTTGTCCAAGGTTACCCAACTAAGAATGAGGAGATTCCAGATTGGAACTCATGTCTGTCTGGAAACACTATGCTTTCCCCTTTAGCTCATTTTATAATAGGCTGCCGAGTTAGTCCTAACACTGAGAACTAAGCTGTAAGCGGGAAGACAGGAACAATAAACACTTCCATAGTCTTCATTCAACAGACACCAAGGGGGGCAATAACATGTTTTCATAGTAACTATCATCTCATAAAATATTAGCACTAAACAAAATTGTAAGCCAACAATATAAACCTTTAAATAAACAAAAAGTACATTCAACATATTGGGAGCTATATTAATTATTATTTGGTTATTTGACAGTCTTTTTTAGGCCTCAGCACCAGACTTTTTAATGAAGCCATGATTCTTCTCATTATAAATAACCAATTTTCATTGTGCATTGTCCAATACAATCACAAAACAGGATTTCCTGACTGATGTAAAATTCTCTTATTTATATATCACTCCCAAAGGGTTTCTCTTCTAGGTCACTTCTCATATAAACATTTAGCATTACTTGCAAGCATTCTAAAATTAGATGTAAATTTTAGAAAATTCTAGCAAAAAAAAGTTAACCTTTTATATTGTAATAGTAATAATATGAATCAGGGACACCGCTTATATTTTCTCTGTTATCAAGTATCTGCTTTGGTATCATGCATCTTAACTTGATAGTGTCCAGCAAAGCTTAGCTTTAGGTGAGAATGATCCTATGTTGAAAAGCATGCATGAAATAAATATAAATGCAAAATGATACGTCTCTAAAGCAGACTCTCAAGTAAAGGCTAATTTTTGAGATTCATAACATTAGATGTGGTTTATTTGGGAATGAAAATAAAGAGTTTTATCTTTTGAAAACTTGGACTTCAAAAAAAAAGGCAAAAAAGAACAATGCAAGAAAGAAAATGGGAAGCAATAATATACTCTCTCTGTCAAAACTGTTCTCTGTTTAGAAATGAAATATCTTCTAGTGTTTAAATTAATCACTACAGTTAATGTGCATTCCAAAAAGTCAACAGTAGTGGGGTTGTTGTTTTTTTACTTCTATTAGAGAATTTCACTGTTACCCCCAATTTTTATAGAGTTGTTAATTACCTACTATTATTTCCTGCAATAAACTTGTTTTAAAAAGTATAACCTTTAAAAATAAGACTATGTTTTCTTATCATTCAAATATGTTATATGTATATAATATATTGTCACCACTACATCTCAAAGAATGGTTTAATTCTATTTTTCCCACCAAGGACAAATTTATTAGGCACCTATCAAAAACCATTTTTCCTCCGAATGTATATCCAAGTGACTTTATTCACAACAACTGTTTAACTGTATTATATACAAAAAGTAGTTCAAAGTCCCATAGTTTACTATAGATAGGAAAAATAAATAAATAAATAAATAAATAATGGAAATCTGTGAAAGTTTTTGAGATTGTTATAAGGAAGAAAACAATAAAATAAATGCATGTGCTGTATTTGTAAGAAAAAAGAAAAGCATAAAGTTTTTAAATGGAAAATTATCAAAATTTTCTTTTTTTTAAATATATATTTATTGATTTTTTTACAGAGAGGAAGGGAGAGATAGAGAGCTAGAAACGTCGATGAGAGAGAAACATTGACCAGCTGCCTCTTGCACACCCCCTACCAGGGATGTGCCCGCAACCAATTTACTTGCCCTTGACTGGAATCGAGCCTGGGACCTTTCAGTCCGCAGACCGACGCTCTACCACTGAGCCAAACCGGTTTCGGCAGAAAATTATCAAAATTTTCATCAATACAATACAGGTTAAATAAAGTATAATGTAAATATGCATCAACTGATGCCTTAAATAAATGACAGCCACATAATGGAACCCTATGCAGTGCTTGAAAAAAGAAAAAGGTAAAAGGAGGTTTCTGTGTACTGCTATAAACCTGGTAAAAACAAAAGTAAGTACAATGTAGAATGGTGTGTAAAATATGTTATTTTTGAGTGTAAAAAGGATAAAATAATTTTACTTTCTTTTATATGCAAAAATTCTGGAAAAACCCAAGAAAAAAAAAAACAGTGATTTTCAGGTTCATCTCCAAGTAAGCTTCAAGGATGGGGGATAACTTTCATGATAGAGTAAGTTCTCGTGTAAAGTCTTCAACAGCTTCCTTGACTTTAAGCAAAATTATGTATAATGAAACTCATTTACTATAGGCTAATAGATGTAAATAAGAATTAAGTATCTATGACATCTCATCAATGTTATAACAAAATGACATGAATGAAATGGCATATTCGAGGACCTACTGTATATCTTTTTATACCTTTTGTTTTTTATTCAAAAATTCCCAAAAAAATAATAAGAATTATACTTTTAAAAAACAGTGCTGAAAAATGCACACCTATAATAACAAATAAGGATACCTACCAACACACATTTCCATTTGGGTGGCATTTTCTTATTTGGACATGAATAGTCTATTAGGATCAGTTTCTTGTCCTTTTTTTTCAAATGCACTTCTCTTTATGCCTCACATACTTAACAATTTATACATTTATAATGAACAACACCTATGTACCAGTATCATCTGTGGACTGAGTTAGCCAAACAGCAGGGTCTTTTTCAGATTTACAGCAGTTAACAGGATAAAAACAAAAAAGAAATTTTATAAGTTCACTTACCCATACTGCCACCTTGTTCTGTACTTTAAGCTCAGGGTGATGAAGGATGTTTTGAATCACTATGGAAATTCTATAGATAATTCCATCTGTCCATTAGAAATAGGATTTAGCCCATTAATTATATTTTAGAGCCGTATAATTATTAAAGTAAATTTACAATCATATCATTTCATACAATTTAAAAGAAACACCTACACAGGTACAAAAAAATTGAGATTTTTTTTTTTTACTTTATGTTCATTGACCTTTGCAACTTCTTGGAGTTACTGATTATACAAATAGTTACTTCATTTATTGCTCTTAAATCATCACCTGCACATTTCTTCCTATTTTTAAATTCTATAGATTCCAGATATCTATGGTCTGTAAATTAGTGACTTTTTATGTACACTTTTGTCTCTTGTAATAAGAACTTACAATTTCCTTGTACATTATAAAGAGTTTGGCATGTGAAAATCAGTGGGGTCATGGGCAGGCAATAAATTGAAAAAAAAAAGAAAAAAGAAAAAAAAAAGGCTTACACATATTTACTACCTCGGCCTCTTATTCTCCCTTTCCTTTCTCTCCCCCCACACCCGTTCCCCACCCCCCCAAACAAAGTTTTACTTCTACTAAGTTATTGGGTTGGATTTCACTAAATTTTTTTTCCATCAAAATTTCATGAATGTAGTCATTTGCACCAAAGTAGAAAGGAAAAATAATATTTGCAGAAAGAATTTCAATTGTACTACCTTGTTTTAAAAATAAAACAATGTCAGAGAAAGTTCTTTTTTTTTCTTTTGGAGGCAATCTTTAAAGTAGTATGATACACACACACACACACACACACACACACACACACACCAAGCTCGCCAGCCAAGACTTGCTAAAACTCTCTACATGCTTGTTACAATGCACCTTACTAAAATATAGTAGGTTATTGAGAGAGAAAAAATTGAATCTCCTCTATAGTCAATCATCTTTCTTCATGTTTATGTTTTGTTATGTCTTGAATAAAATACACATAGAAAATGTAGAAATGTATAATTAAAACAATGATGAGAAATGGATTTAATAAAGCTTTTGGGGAGGCACTACCAAAAAATTACAAAAAGTACTCCTCCCAAACTTACCAAAATGTAAATTGCTGTCCAATTACTAATGGAATGTTTTTACCAATATATGGGTGAAAAATCTCATGCCAAAAAAAAAAAAAATCACCATTCTTAATGTAATATAAATATATGAAATTGACACAGGTCCAAGTGAGATTAATTTATAAAGATTAAGTTATTTTAGCTTCTAAAACTCTTCAAGTATTTGAATGTCTTGAATTTGTATTCTCTTAAAAATATTCTGAATGGAAACTTTGAGAAAGATATTTAAAATAAATAATAATTTAGTAAAAAAAAAAAAAAAAAAAAAGTCCTTTATACTCTAGATCTCATTATAGCAAAACATGGAAATTCCGAGTGACTGAGAGGAAATTCAAATTGCAGAGGTTCAGGATTCTGTATTTAGTTCAGAGTCCTATGGATCTTCGGATCTTCGGTGAATGTTCCCTGTTGCCAGTACAGTAACTGAAAAGCTGCCACTAGATGGAGATCTAAAACATGTGTTTGTTCAACAGGAGTTAGCAGTCTTTCCCACTTGGGAAAATATTACAAAATACTAAATATCAGTGTTTTATATCACTGACATTTCTGAAATGTTATGGAAGCTTCCAAATATTTAAGATAATTTTCTTTAAATATTAAATATTTTTTACTTCACTTTTTTTCAATTCATTGTTTTTATAAATGAGAAAGTCATCTGAGGCAGCCTAAATCAATTTCTGTAGGGCTCTCCTTAACGTTATAATGCTTAAAGCAAATCAAATATGAGAATATGCCAAAAAACCTAGCATCTTGTGTTAGATTCTCTTGTGCTGTGGATTATTATCAGGTAGTCTCTCCTCTGAAGCCTCAGGGTGTGATATTTTTTTTAGTTAGCTGAAAACAACTCAGCAGAAGCTATGTGTTATATTTATTTTAAAATTTTGAATAATGTAGTCAATAATTAATCCTGAGGAATGTCCAAGAGTGAATTGTCTAAACAAAATAAAATGTCCACTGACGGGTTGGTGAAAGGCGTTTTGAGTTGCAGCAAAATAATCCTTAAGCACTGTCAGTGCAGAAAATGCACAGTGAATGGGGTGATGCAGGCTTTTCCATGTCATCCTTGCAGTCTTCCCTAGAAACGCTACAACTCCCACAGTGACTCAATAGAAAAGCTATTCACAAACCTTCATTTGTTTCAGAGACATCAAAAGATGAATGTTTTTTCCTAATAATGGCATCCAGGCCAAAAAAATTCATGAGAGACATTTCTTTGAGGAAAAAAGTGTGTAAGAATATACCATCTTCCAATTAGATAACACTTTTAGCCATGCAGAAAATCAAAAACAAATTATTATTTGCCATTACACATGATATTAAAAAATCTTATTCCTGTCTGGAGGTCTTTCTCCAATTTAATTTTTCCTTTTTGTCTTCTTAACACACTTTCAAGTTATTTAGAAGATACAGAAATGACATACTTTATAGTCATAGTTGTGAAATACAGATTTGAAAAGTAGATTTTAAAAAAATCCTCACTGAGGATATTTTTTAAAATTTATTTTAGAGAGAGAAGAAAGGAGAGAGAAAAAAAGAGAATTGAGAGAGAGAGAGAGAGAGAGAGAGAGAGAGAGAGAGAGAGAGAGAGAGAGAAGATACAGAAATGACATACTTTATAGTCATAGTTGTGAAATACAGATTTGAAAAGTAGATTTTAAAAAAATCCTCACTGAGGATATTTTTTAAAATTTATTTTAGAGAGAGAAGAAAGGGGAGAGAAAAAAAGAGAATTGAGAGAGAGAGAGAGAGAGAGAGAGAGAGACAGAGAGAGAGATCCATGCGAGAGATAAATATCCATCAGTTACCTCCCACAGGCACCCCAACTGGTGATCCAATACATGCAACCTAGGTGTGTTCTCTGACCAGAAATAAAACCCACCAGGGCTGAAAGGTAGATTTAAAATGTATATTTGAAAAGACAGATGTTCATTTATAAAGCAAATGTTATTTTAGATTCAAGATTATTTCTTTGAACTAGTGATGAGACAATTATGATATGACAGTAGTGTTTGTAATATGACTTGAAGCCCTGCTCATCCAACATACACAATTTCTTTAAGTACAGCTAGATTGATTGTTGGATCCATATAAATATCATGGGGGGGGGGGTTGTTTGAGTACTTAAATGCATGTGAGAAACTAGAAGCAGTATTACAATATCACTTATGGGAGCTAGATTTTAAGAACAACAATAAGGATTAACAAAGTTATTTCTTTACTTGGTTTGCTGACCTCACAAAAGTCTAATACTTTTTTTTAACCCCCAGAGTAGTATTAGAATTGTGCTGCAAGCATAGAAAATATAATTTTGAATGGAAACAAAAATTAGTCAAAGAGCTTTTCTGGAATGTAATATAAAAGACTAAAAGTTATATGCGAAAATAACTAGGTCATTCAGTAGTTCCTGAAATATCTGTGAAAAGTAACTTAAAGATAAGATTTTCTTAGCATATAATCTGAGGTATTATATCAAAATCCTATTGAAAATAACAAAAAAAAATCTTGACACAGAAAAATAGGAACGTTTCACAAAAACTGTAAAAGCACATTTAATTGATATATTGAAGAAATATGTCTGATTGTTAAACAATTTCAACCCTTCTCTACTTTCTGCTGATGAACACAGTAAAATTAATAGTCCAGAGTTTAAGAAAGCAGATAAGGTAGAAAACAGATCTGACAGTTTGCCCATCTTTCTTACAGTTAACAAAAATAAATTCTCTATTTCAAGGTGGGGCAAAAGTAGGTTTACAGTTGTGAGTACAAGAAACACAGAGTTTATTCTTGTATTATTATTTATTAATTACTGTATTGTTTTTCATACGAACAACTTGAAACTATTTTTGCTCCACACTTATATCAGATCATAGCCCTGAGAATGTTTACTACATCAGATTCCCAAGGAACACAAAAAGTGCATTGGAAATTGTTGGCAGTATGTGAATGGTCTTAGATAGTCCAGGACATGACATCAAATCCCACTTATTCACAAGGTGAACAAGCAATTCTCTTTTCTATTATTTCAAATTTGACCACATCAAAGAAAAAAATCTTATTTAGATTATCATCTATCTCTAACACTTTGTTCCTCTCCCTTTTAAAAAAGACAATAAAGATTTGGAGGGCTAAGATGTGAGAATGCAATAGGATATAGGGGAAATCCAATGACATGGTTTTCATTATATTCATTTTCATTTCTATTTTAAAGCAAGTGGTTATGTTTTAATTCTCTACAACAGTGATATCAATTTTTCCATCCAAATAAAAATGTTTAAGCAAAAAAGTGAGCCAATTTAGAAAAAAAAAAAAAAAAACACCTATGAAATGGATAATAGATATGGTTCTGGGATGTGATTAAAAGATGGTATACAAATTTGAGTACATAATATTGAAAATACTTCTACTACATGATAACCTATGAATATTTTTAAATATTTTAAAATTCTAGGGATATATTTTTATCAAGAATCATCTGAATTAGAATTTTTTTCCTTAAATATGGTCGCCAAGCCATTTCAATTGATTCTAACATCTGCTCGCTTTGTTAAGACTCCCATAAAGGCTATGACGCAGAGAGATATGGAGTAAACAGGGCTCTCTTCAAGAATGTCAGAAATGACACGACTGGGTGAACACAGCACTGCTCCACCAAGTCAAGTCAAGGACTGAAACACCATATAAACGTTCTTGGGCAGTAGAGGATGTGCCAATCCTGGAGGGAGAATGCCACAGAGGCTCTTTGTATGTTCATACAAAGAATGAAGTACTTCGTTAGAATTATAATATTCCCATCTACTGGCTGGCGTCCATGTGAAATATGCACTGGAAACTTCAGCTGCTCTTGCTTTCTTGGGGGTTGCTGGAATTTTTGCTCCATCATAAATCTCCTTGGTGTAACTACCAGAATAACCATAAACACTTCCCTGAATCGATGTCTTTATAACCCTTTACATTTCATGTAAAATATTCCATACTTCCAATTTAAACGTCCTTTCAGAGGAAGTTGATGTAACCCCAAAGCCAAAAGAAAAAATTAACTATGTGCATTTCTTTTCTCTGGGTTTTGGTCCCTGGTGATCCATTAACAGATGTCTTGGCCTCACAACTTAAATTATTGGAGTTGAGAAAATCTCTTTGTTTCTAATACCTCATGTTTGAGAATATTACTATATTTGAGGCAATGGTATAGTCACCTGATTGGAATTTCTTTTCTTTTTTCCCCCAGAAGAAACTGAAATCATTTACTCTGAATTACCAAAAGGCTATGTATATGGTCCTTATAGGAAACTGGTTGATTTATGATTTAGTTGATAAACAATCACATTCTAATCATCATCAACAAATAAAAACAGAAAGCAAATTATTACCATGTAAAGTGGTTTAAATATCACAAATATTTAAACATGAAGTTAGCTTTAGTGGAAAGTTAAATTACCAAAATTAGATTTTTAAAATTATAAAATCTTTAGAAAGTAGCTTCCTGAAGAGAGCAATCTAACAAAAGACTATGAATTTTTTTTCCTGCAATCTTTAGCATAATATAATTTCATTCCTTTTCATCAAATATATTTCTCATAAAGCTTCCTTTGAAATTTTAGCTAGAAGTACAGATGAGTGATCCTGGAAGTGAACTCATTCCACTGGTCACTAGAATGAGGAACTCAAGAGAATCAAGTGATTTTATTTATTTTACTAGTCTTGCAAATGTACCAGTTGATTCCAATAATAGAAACCTTGTTGAAACATTAGATATTTCCACCCTTAGAATACAACTTTTATTACATCAGACATATTACAAATATAAAAGGTAGTTTCTTACCATTCCTTTGTTTATCAATTCTATTAGTAACAGGCATGTTAGTGGTGACAGTAGGTGATGTAGTACTAGGAGAGCTTACAGTAGCTGCTAACAAAGATGAGAAAAATGTAATTTTGCAAGGAGTACATGGCAGTTAATATGGATGAGCAACCTATAATTAATTCATGGCACTACATGAGGAAGGAATGGAAACTATTTCTTGCCATTAATTACAACAGAATGTGAGGTTGTAATGCATAAAATAAAGCAAATGCTTTCTATGGTACAGTAAGAATCAGTTCACATTGCCTTTGGTATCACATTGAAAAAGTCTGGATCTGGCACAGAGGAAATGGAGAAAAGGCATTTAGACTCTAGACCTACGTCTGCCATTAACAGGCTGATGACCACACTATGAATAAGTAAACCTTTACAGAACTCAGTTTCCTAAGTTTGTAAAAGCAAAATGTTAGAGGATGCAGTCTCTATAGTACCCATCAGCTTGAAAATGATTCAAACTAAGTCAGTCTTCCTGATTCTCTAAGAATGAAATGAAATCTCAGATAAGAACATATTTGTCCTTGAAATAAAACAAAATGAAAGAAAAAATTGTATAGACTGAATCAATCATTTACAGATCCCAATAACTTGACTGAATGGTGATGGACAAAATAGATTCATTAGGACAAGCCTAAGGGGGAAACATTTTCAAGGCATTATGTCATAGATATGCTTTTGATATTACTAAAACTCTCAAAGATGAAATTCTTATGTAATGCTTTAAAATATTTTTCTATGGAATTCTGAAGGAGCTATACAGGGTGGGGCAAAAGTAGGTTTACAGCTATAAATACATGAAACATAGAGTTAATAAAACTACTGTAATAATCATTACCTTCATGTTTTTTTCCTTTCAAACAATGGTAAACCTACTTTTGCCCTACCCTGTATAATTAGTAGAAACACTGCACATATAATTTTCCTTTAGTTATCCTAGAAGTGTATTTGTATTAATGTACATCCATATGGACAATAAACATTTATGTGTCTCATTATTTAAAATTTAAGTAATTACCCTCTAAGGGATCTTTAGAAAATATCAAATTTCTTGCTTCAAAATATGCTTCCCTAACTAAAAAATTTTCCATTTCCAATCCTTTCTAATAAAGAGGAAATATGCAAATTGACCATCATGCCATCACAAAGATGGTGCATCTTCAGCCACAATATGGCGGCACCCAGTCCCCTCAGCCTCACCGGAGTCCCCCAGTCCTGCAGGAGTCCCACAGTCATTTCAGCCCAGCCAAGGAGGTGGCAGGCACATGGTGTAGCTGGACCCATCCTCAGCTCCGCCGCTGCCCAGCTTGCCCAAGGCGCAGGCAAGCCTCAGATGGCAGGGCTGCCGGAGGCTCAGGTAACCAAGGCCAGCTGAGGCTTGTGCTGCTGGCAGTGGCAGCAACAGAGTTGTGATGGGGGTGTTGCCTTCCCCTGATTACCAGGTCACCTCCCTCCCCTGAGGGCTCTGAAACTGTGAGAGGAGCAGGCCGGGCTGAGGAACCCCCCTCCAGTATATGAATTTTCATTCACTAGGCCTCTAGTATGTAATATTTAAGAATGGGAGTCTTTCTGAATTCTTTTTAAAAAAATGATGAACAGTCAATTATATTTATCTTAATGTAAAATGCATCAATAAACAGGAAAATGTTTTGTTTTGTTTTGTTTGTCATTTAGGACACAGGGGTGGGGTAGATAGCTGGGCATCTAGTTTAAGGAATCAGTACTATAGGTATCCCATATTAAAAGAAAAATAAATAATTTTTTAAAACTTTTAGATCTGGAACTAGGCAAAATTATATTTTTCTGTCATATAATTACTTTTAAACTATAATGGGTTTATGGAAACCATTTAATATTTTTATTTTTATAAGATACTCATTGGTAGTAATATTAGGAATAATGCCTCAGAAAGGACATCAGATAATAATGAATTAAAGCCCATTTCCGCATTGGACCCACAAAAGACACCTTTAATTTCTATTCATTTAGTCTCACTTCTTACCCTGGTCACTTTCATGCTATGTTTCTCCTAATAAGAGATCCAACTTTTACAAAAGGCATGATCATGATTCTTAATGTGGAATATAGAACAAAGGAGCATTTAATAGAATAAATGAATGAAAATGGGTCATGGAAATTAGAAATAGCAATAATAAGATTAAAGCAAATAATATTATTTTAAAACATTTAGGACTTTATGTATTATTTAGCATGCAACTGTTTAGTCCATAATGTATCATTAGAATGCTGGCATAATATAGTCACTATGCATTATAATAATTAATAAAACTATATTACTATTGGTTTAGTATAACTAATTTTATTTCAATATTTAAGTTACATTGCACCTCATAAATTGCCTCACAGCCTTGTCTCAAGTGTAACTGAATATTCAACTTAATTTTTCCTCTTATTTTTTAGACATGAATACTTTTTCAAAACATTGTATGACTGTATTTATACTGGACCTTTGCAATATTCTTGAGGAGACAGAGAGGGGGAAAAATGAAATCAACCCTTGCTTAATAGCATATAATCATTCACATTTAAAAAACTGTGCTTTATGGAAATGTGGTCATCCAGTCTGTGAATGCATTCTTTCTCCACACTGTACGTACTGTGCACCCACGCAACTAAAACACATCCAGAAATTCTTCTGTTTTGCTGGTTTCTTAACTTCCCAAGAGAAAATTAAGATACAAATCAAAACAATAAAAATGACATTATCCAAAATAGCAAGAAAAAAACAGAGACTCCAGAGGATAACGCAGGCTCCCTACCTTGGCAGAGGGTTCCCAAGTCGGCACAGTTGGCTAGTTCTACTGGTGGGAGCTTGACCAGGTAGGAACCTTGATCAACACAGAGGGTTATACAAGTTTGACTAGTATACAACATTTAATATTATCCAAAAAAAACAAAACACAAAAATCATGAGTCATGTGTTCGGTATAGCAGGGGCAGCCCTAAAAGCATCCTCTAGTAATACCCCAACATGAAGAGAGTCTCTTAAAGTCTCTGTGTCTTCATTTCTGAAAATGTAAAACCAGGTTATTGAAATATCCCTCAAAATCTTTAACTCAATTTATTGGCCATCCACATATGAAAGGAAAAGTCTGTGTGAAAAATCCAGGGCCTTTTCACATAATAAATTATACAGCTCTAGTGGAAATCTGTACAGATGAAATAATATAAACATCAAAGATAAGTTTCAAAAGTAAACTTGGCTATTCATACTCATAATATGCACATTTTGTTGCTAGCCACTAACATATGATATTGGCAATTCCAGAAATACATTTCAGTGATTTCAAGGTGGTCTCTGTGTCTTTCTTTTTCAAGTTTTTACTGAGTCATGCTCAGTAGGAAACAAGTTTTAGCTGATTTTCTAGTATAAATAGTTTTTTTTCTGTTGCATTAAATCTCCCTCTGACAATTAACAGACTTCTATAAACAGGCAGAGGTGAGGGAAGCTGGGTTAATCTTTTCACAAAGCCTATTGCACTATGAAGACAGAGGATAAATACAAACACACACACACACACACATAACTACATACATTCAATTTTAAAAGGACATTTCTATAATAGTGATTCCATTCAGATGTTTAAACATTTTCCAAACGTTCCTGTGGGAATACTACCTATAGGTAGAGAAGACACAAAAAGATGAGCTAACAAAAGATGTCTAGGTAAATGCTGTGCATGAACAGAAAGCATCTCCAGTTCAATAGCATCTTTATTCTTGATTGCCCCAGGCACCTGGCCCAAGGAAGGAAATCATGTTTCCTCAGAAAGGCCCAACCCTACAGGCAAGTCTGTAATGTTAACTGGTACAAAGCTCTCATTACAGACCTTTACATGTTCACTCGATAAAAATTTACTGACTGTTCATAGTGTATGAGGCTTGAGAGGGCAGGGCGGGGTGAGGATGAGCTCCCGACTCCGCCCCACAGGGCGGAGTTATCCCTAGCCCTCACCCAACCAATCAGGGTTAGCCGAGGCAGTGACATCACCACCGACCGGCGTAAAACCCCTGGGCTGGGCGAAATTTGCTCTCTCTTCCGCTATGCTGCCCGCATGAGTGGGAGGAGCCCAGGCTAGCATGGATGAGGCTCTTTTGTTTATTGCATCGGACTCGGCTCCCTGGTGGTCCTTGGGGATCACGAAGTCTGGGCGTAACAGGCTCAGAGGCTAGCGTAATACTTTGAGATAATGTCCCTCCTCTCAGAGAGGCATACATGGGAAATGGCTTCATAGTTCTCTGAGTGATGTAAGTGTATAGTCGCCCCAAGCAGGACGTGACCAGCAGTTTGGTGAGAAGGGAGAAGGGTGCAATCCATTACAAAGAAGAGCTGCGAAGAAGAGGAGGAGTCACCATACTGATCACGAGAGAAGAGACTAGAATTACTGAAACATAGACCAAGAAGGCCATGAAAAGATCTGGGTACCCACGTGATATGGCATCACTGGGTATCCGTAGAAAATTGGTAGGAATTGTCAGATATATAGGCAATGGATTAAGGGCCTTATAGAATGTAGGCACCATGAGTATCTTTCCAAAGATGGTTTATCCCATCCACATCTCAAACTTTGCTGAACAAATTATTAAATGCATGATGGACAACTGCTCACATTTTGAACTCTTAAAGGAAATGGAGAAAAAAAGTGAAAGGGAACTAAGTGAGAAATTTCTATTTATGTTTAAAAACACCTTTGAGGCTCCATAACCAATCAAAAGAGGGAAGGTACAAGAAGCATGAATAACACTGCTGATTCAAGTTGATATGATGACAATGGACAGAAAGAGATAGATACAAGGCATTTGGAAGTAGAATGTCTAGGATTCAGAAACTTTTTGGAAGAGGGATAGAAGAGATGAAGACATTTTCTTCTGGTTTCTAGTTTGAGAAGTTGGTGCATAATACTCTTATAAAAGGAGACAGGGAATACTGGAAGAAGAACAACCTTAGGTGAGGTGGCCTAACCAGTAAATTCAGTAATGAAAATGGGAGTACCTGGATACACGGCAGGTGCACATGGGTTTGGAAGAGATCTAGTCAGGCAATACTCAACAGAAGCTATAGCCAGGAGCTAGAGTGAAGATTTGAGAAGGATGTAACCATAGATAGTCCTAAGTTTACGTATCAGGCTTGAAAAGGTAAAGTTAGCTTCTGTAGAAGGTGGTTTTTCAGAATTAAAGTGAAGAAAGTTTCATGGAAGGTGTGGCGATACCAAGTGCACCGAAAGGTCAAGAATGATAAAGATTGAGAAATCCTTTCACTCTTCCCTGGAATTTTGGTAGCAGTTTGACAGAAATTAGTTTCAGGAGCGTGGGAACCAATGTTTGAGGGGTGAATGCAAAAAGAGGAAGCCTGGCTAGGAGAGGAAGCGGAGATAGGAAGGAGAGGCTTTAAAGATTGAAAGCTTGGACAAGTGCACGATGGAAAAAGAACATTGGAAGAGGCAGAAGTTGAGGTCAGCCTCAGGCAGAATTCTTAACGTATGCCCCCTGCTTGCCAGACCTCTTTTCCCCTTTAGACACTTATGGATTAGCAAGGAACTTCTAAAAACTGAAAACTCAAAACGACTGAGGAAATCTCAGCCACTGAAACAGAACAGAAAGGAGAACCTTGGATGGAGTTCCTGCGCTTCTCAAATTACACTCAGTGTTGGCAGTCAAAGGCTCCCTGGCCACTGCTACAGTATCTCTGGAGGACAAAGGGAGATAAGGGGACATTGTTGTGGGAAAGAAGGTTTATGGCTCACTGCATTCCCACTGCAGTCTAGTCAAGAGCGCAGAGGTGGGGATAGGAAAGAAAACCCAAGGAGTTACGATTTACAGTAAGACATGTGACAATTTTATGTAACATTTTATCAGTATCATTGTATAGGAACAAGTGTACATTTCAATATGTGACCACCTCTTCGTGGGGAATTGTAGCATTTACTTCTTAATATTTAAGTTGTCAGTTGTTCCTTAAAGTCTAGCAAATGGACATTGCTTTATATAAATGCTCAATAAACACAACCATATGGAGATTCACTATAGGAATACTAGATGTTAAGTTGGACAATTTTGGGGGGATAGTATAAATATAAATGATGAGAGAAATTATATTGATAAATGTTGTATTACAAAAACACCCATTTATATAAATATCTGAAATATAGAAAGTAGATGCAAAAAAATTTTTTTTATTTCTAATTAGTTCCATGATTAGTACATTTGCATAAAAAGTCACTATTGCTATCGGTTTTCCTGGGCCAATAGATTTACAAACCAGAATATCGTTAAGCAAGCGAGACAATTCTCCCTCCTGGATAATGATAATACCTTTTTCATCAAGGAATCATTTTCAGAATGTAACCTATGCATGTTCACTGATTTTTATAGATACCACAAAGGTGTTTAAAGGTATTTACTTAATATTAACTGGAAAATTTAGAATAAAATTTCTTTGAAATAATGTAATCACTGAAAATGGGCAGTTGATGAGAAACTGAAAATCTTTCTTTTCTATCTGTTGTTCTTGCAAAATTATACTACTGAAAGGAATCACTATTAATTTACAGGAATTGTGGTAAAAAAAAAAAAAAGATTGATATGCAGTCAACACTCCTCTCATAACCTATTTTATTACAATCCAAATAATAGTAGTACGTTGGGGGGAAGCAATTCCTTTTCAACTCTTTCTTTGCAACTGTACTAAGCTAAATTTTACAATTTTTCCATATAAATATATTTCAAATGAAATTATCTCCAAGAATCATTTATGCTCATAAAGAATTTAAACATTTCCAAATAATAAAGTCCTTTGTAAAGATAGTGATTTTATCTTCATCACATGAATACAATGTATGTATATATTATCCTATATAATAAAGAGCTATATGCTAATTAGACCAGTTGGTGGAATGACCTTCTGGAATGACCAGTGGGAGGGTGGAGCCAGCGATCCTGTGCTGCCAGGCCAGCCATGGCAGTCCCAGTGCCACCCCTTCTGCAGAGGCTGGACAGGGCACGACCACAGCACCTCAACTTCCCACAGCCCCTCCTCAAGCCAGCCTGGCCCCCGATTACCCCACCCCATCCCTGCCACCAGTGGATGAGGGTTGGGGCCAGCGCTAAGGAGCAGTGAGCCCAACTGGTGAGCACAGTAGCAGTGGTGGTAGCCTCTCCTGCCTCCGCATCAGGTGGGCAGTAAGGAGCAAAGGGTCCCAGACTGTGAGAGGGATGCCTGTGGGGAACAAGCCTAAGTAGGCAGGTGGACATCCCCCGAGGGGTCCCTGACTGTGAGAAGGCACAGGCCAAGCTGAGGGACCCGCCCCCCTCCCCAGTGTACAAATTTCATGCACTGGGCCTGTAGTGTATATATAAAAATGCTAGTCAAAATTTTGTTAGGGATGGTAGGAAGAAGTCTATAGTGAATCAGTTTTAGGGCATGAAGAAGCGAACTGTAATAATTGAAAATGAAAGGGTAGAGATCCAAGAGTTGATGATGCCTTAGTAATTAAGGGCTAAATTTTACAATGAAAACAAAAGTTGGTACAAATCCAAACATTTCTAGAAAAGAATAACAACAAAGTTGGGTACTTATGAATTGTATCTTATCTCTATAACCACAGTGGCTAATAAATGGAAGTGCTTGTTAATGCTAGTTAAATAAATGTAATTTGTTTGAACTTAGGCTATTCATTGACTTATGCTGTGTGACACCTCAGGAAAGAGCAGTCAGCGGTAAAATAAATAAAACTGGTAGAGAAGGCACTGTCTGTTCTTTGTGAAAAGTGGTGGACACTAGCCAGTATCTAAACCTGAATCATAACACAGGCAAATACTTGCACCTATA